AATTTTATCGGCTAGTAACAGTTTTATTTTCTTATCTACCAAGGTGCATGGTGTACCTCGGCAGACCCTGGCGGACAGGCTGAGCGGCCGGGTGACCCATGGTTGTCGCAGTGGACCACCCACATTGCTTGCACCAGATGATGAAAATTATCTGGTGCAGTACTGTATCTCCTGCGCAAGCGATGGGTTCCCCTTCACCAGACAGAGGCTGATGAAATACGCCGACAAAATACGCAGGTATCTGGTGTTCTATGTGTTTATGTACAGTACCAATCAAAAGTTTGGACACACCTACTCATTCAAGGGTTTTTCTTTATTTTTACATTGTAGAATAATAGTGAAGACATCAAAACTATGAAATAACACATATGGAATCATGTAGCAACAAAAAAAAAGTGTTAAACAAATCAAAATATATTTTATATTTGAGATTCTTCTAATAGCCACCCCTTGCCTTGATGACAGCTTTGCACACTCTTGGCATTCTCTCAACCAGCTTCACCTGGAATGCTTTTCCAACAGTCTTGAAGGAGTTCCCACATATGCTGAGCACTTGTTCACTCTGCCGTCCGACTCATCCCAAACCATCTCAATTGGGTTGAGGTCGGGGGATTGTGGAGGCCAGGTCATCTGATGCAGCACTCCATCACTCTCCTTCTTGGTAAAATAGCCCTTACACAGCCTGGAGGTGTGTTGGGTCATTGTCCTGTTGAAAAACAAATGATAGTCCCACTAAGCCCAAACCAGATGGGATGGCGTATTGCTGCAGAATGCTGTGGTAGCCATGATGGTTAAGTGTGCCTTGAATTCTAAATAAATCACAGACAGTATCACCAGCAAAGCACCAACACACCATAACACCTCCTCCTCCATGCGTTATGGTGGGAACTACACATGCGGAGATCATCCGTTCACCCACACCGCGTCTCACAAAGATACAGCAGTTTGAACCAAACATCTCCAATTTGGACTCCAGACCAAAGGACACATTTCCACCAGTCTAATGTCCATTGCTTGTGTTTCTTGGCTCAAGCAGGTCTCTTCTTCTTATTGGTGACCTTTAGTAGTGGTTTCTTTGCAGCAATTTGACCATGAAGGCCTGATTCACACAGTCCCGTCTGAACAGTTGCTGTTGAGATGTGTCTCTTACTTCAACTCTGTGAAGCATTTCTTTCGGCTGCAATTTCTGAGGCTGGTAACTCTAATGAACTTATCCTCTGCAGCAGAGGTAACTCTTGGTCTTCCATTCCTGTGGTGGTACTCATGCGAGGCAGTTTTTATTTAATTTTTTTATTTAACCTTTATTGAACTAGGCAAGTCAGTTAAGAAAAAAATATTATTTACAATGACGGCCTACACCGGCCAAACCCGGACGACGCTGGGCCAATTGTGCGCCGCCCTATGGGACTCCCAATCACGGCCGATTGTGATCCAGCCTGGAATCGAACCAGGGGGTCTGTAGTGACGCCTCAAGCACTGAGATGCAGTGCCTTAGACCGCTGCGCCACTCGGGAGCTTGATGGTTTTTGCGACTGCACTTGAATAAACTTTCTTAAGTTCTTGAAATGTTCCGTATTGACTGACCTTCATGTCTTAAAAGTAATGACGGACTGTCATTTATCTTTGCTTATTTGAGATGTTCTTGCCATAATATGGACTTGGTCTTTTACCATATCTTCTGTATACCTTGTCACAACACAACTGATTGGCTAAAATGCATTAAGAAGGAAATAAATTCAACAAATTAACTTTTAAGAAGGCACAACTGTAAATTGAAATGCATTCCAGATGACTACCTAATGAAGCTGGTTGAGAGCATGCCAAGACTGTGCAAAGCTGTCATCAAGGCAAAGGGTAACTATTTGAAGAATCTCAAATATAAAATATATTTTGATTTGTTTGACACTTTTTTGGTTACTACATGATTCCATATGTGTTATTTCATAGTTTTGATGTCTTCACTATTATTCTACAATGTAAAAAATAGTAAAAAATAAAGAAGGTGTGTATGTAGAATGCTGGACCGACTGTTCTCAATGTGTGTACTGTAAATGTGGACGTGTATGGTGATGCCAAAACAAACATTTTCATCCTGGATGGACAATTATATATTATATTCTATTGTAGGTTTCGGCACCCAGGGGAAACGATCCCACCACTGGGGAAGAGGTGGTGAGAAATGTTCAGGAGGAGGCACAAGAACCTGAGCATGAGGAGGCCGGACACCCTGGACAGGGGGAGAGCGGAGTGTGCCACACGTCCGACGATGGACACCTTCTTCACTTCTTATGAGAAGCACTTGGAGGAGAGTGGGTTGAGGGAGACACCCAGACAAATCTATAACTGCGATGAGTCTGGGTTTTGTAGTGACCAGAGCAGGCACAAAGTGCTGGCTTCCCGGGGCGCAAAACATGTGTACCAGCAGGCTCCGGGGACCAAGGAGCACATCACAGTGCTGGCCTGCTTCAATGCAGCTGGGGAGGACGTCCCCCCGTTTATCATCTACCCCAAGTGTTTCCCCGGTGGCCACTACACACAGAGGGCACAGGAGAGGGCTGCCATGGATGACACCATTGACGACATCGCCTCTGCTGGACCCCCTGCTGGAACCACTCCTGACAGCTGCATCACCACTGCCAGTGCCTCCCATTGTGCAACACCTGTAGGAGCCGCCAGAGTCCCCAGCTGCAGAAGAAGGCCACGTGCCTACTCTCCTGGCCACACCATCGTCGGCCCCTCAACCCCACCATTACAAACACCAGCTCCTCCAAGCCATCGGCGGCGGTTTCGACCACCACCACGATGCACACCACCCCCCCTCTCAGTCACCACCAACGCGGCCTCCTCTGGACCAACTGCCTCCTCCGTCTCCCCTGGTCATACCACCATAGCAGCCTCGTCTGGTGTCCCTGCCCCCTGCAATTTGAATACAGCTACCTCCACAGGTAAACAAACAAAAATGACTGTTTGTTATCTGTTTTATAAATCTACAATGTTTAAACGTATTTCTCTGTTTACATATCTACAGTCCATAGCACCAGTCCTCAAGTCACGTCCACCTCCTCCAAAACATCTCCAGCATCCTCCAGAGGTATTGATGTAAAAAAGTTGAAAAGGGTTTTCATGAAACATGCTCTGTCTAACACTACTTTTTCTCAAACTGCAGCACAGAAAAGGAAGAGAAAAGCTCCACCGGCCAACTCTGTCACGCCACCACTCTCAGGTACTTCATAATCTGTTTCTCTCTCTCTCTCAGTTGTATCAACTACTATTGTTGTTGAAGAACTTCTACATTTTGCAAAACCATGTTAATCAATTTGATTATTATTATTTTTTTAACAAAAGAAGACACCACTTGCTGTGCTTGCTGCGGGGAGCGTGATCCGCCTGCAAGCTCCCCTCAGGAGTGTAGGTCCGAGGTGCCATGGGTGTGCTGTGACTTCTGCCAGCACTGGTTCCACTGCAAGTGTGTGCAGTGGGATCCAGAGGTGGCGGTGGAGCTGGATTTTTATTGTGATTTTTGTGACAATATAGGGATGGAGGTCGAGATTTAATTGTTTGTTTTCATATGAAATTATTTGTCCCAAAAAAATACATGTCTAAAATATAATCTATATAATTATTCAACCCATCTTGTGTATTTCTTCCTTTACTTTCCAAGTGCATCTCTGCAACACAAACTCCAGTGTTTATTGTTTATGTCAATGCACATTACTGAAATTAAAGTTTTATTTGATGTAAATTATTCAAACTCATTTATATTTTAGTATTAAACTGTTATCTACTTTCTCAAAACATAAGATTAATCTGTAAAACAAATTGAGACATTATTTGGTTACAACACTGAATATGTTGGTGAAGAACCATTTTTTAAGAGTCCACCGGAGGGCGCACCGGGCTACGCTATGAAATGTTGACAGGCAAGTCTCTCTTTTTTTTAACCTGAAGGCTAGCCAGCTAACACTTCGGATACGAGGTTGGTGTCTCTTTTTTTAAACAAAATTAAACGGATATATCTTGTAATTGAACAAAATAGTAAGGTGGCCAATAACTGGGGACCGTATGCAGATAATACGGGACGTATTTATTTGCTAAACCGCTTATCAAAAAGCTGATAATAGTTGTATTTCCACTGAAATGTCAAACATGCTAATTGCTAACCCGTTAGCTAACATTTTTACGACAACAATCACAAAACATTGATTGCATGATCACAAGATAACACTGTTGAAGGTAATATATTTATTAAACGCTGTTGAATATGCCGATAATACGGGTTTCCAACGGTAGCTAGTTATATGAAGCTTGCTAACATCTAGCCCATTCAAAGACGCTAACTACCTTTAGCGCCTATTATTGAAGGTATCATCTTCCCCGGGGGACTTTTGTTAAGAGCCCCGACGCTTGCGGTACAGATTTGGAAACATAAGGAGGAACGTATCTTTCATATCAGCAATAGATAATTTTCAAAAAACAAAAGGTTAAATTACTACACACCTTTATATGGTTTTTTCCCACACTATCTCTATGGCAGAGTTGGAGAGCATCAAAACCATAATGTATCATGGGTAAATTGCAACTGAATGACTGATCTACAAATAATAATGAATAGTTATTTGTGACTCAAGGTGATTTATAGACCAGTCAATCGGCAGTCGCCTGCAAATAGTACAGTAGGTGACGATAATGCACCATAGGTTGGATGCCAACCGCCGATAAAACCCCACTGAAGAAGAAGAGGCTCATCACGAGGTCGTTATCACAACCACAAAGTCATAATTATGTCTAAACCCCGCCTATTTGTACACTTTATCTTCTTAAAAGCGTATTTTAAACCTAACCTTAACCACACTGATAACCTTATGCATAACCCTAACCTTAAATTAAGACCAACAAACACATTTTAGTTTTCATTATCTTTTACGATATAGCCTATTTTTACTTTGAGGCTGTCGTAACTAGTGACAACCTATCACGAGCTCCAACCGCAAAAGTAAACATTTCCGTAATACTGTGGCTGTTTCATAACTAATTACGGCTTAATTGAACGAAAAAGGTAAGTGCCAAAGTTGATTATAATAGGTTTATCCAGCTAATTAATAATTTAGCGTACTCATACCAGCCTACTTTACTGGTAGCTAGAGTGCTAACCGTTGGCTAGCCTGTTGTCGCAATCACACTGTTGTGTTTGGGAATTCGACTGTAATGACGTTAACGGTTAGCTAACAACTAATAAACATTTAATGCAATTTTACCCCCAGATGTTTCATTTGGTGTTGTCCCTGCTGTTGGGAGCGTTGGGGACTCTTGGGGCACCTGAAGCAGATCAAATAAAGTTCCTCCCTGGGCTTCAAAAGCAGCCTAACTTCAAACAGTACTCAGGATACTTCAATGTGGCTGACAACAAACACCTTCACTACTGGTGAGTGGGTAACGTTAGCTGGGTGATTCCTGCAATGCTGTGCCTTTTCTATCCCCAGGAAATATCACTTCTTACTGTAAAACGTGGATTCCAAAAGGCTTTAAATATAAGATCAGGTGTCCTTTACCTTAAAAATACACAAATATGGATTTTGAAAGGATATTTTATGCGTTTTTTAACACTTTTTTCAGTCGATGCCATGGCCCCGGGTTTTATTCATCAACTTCCACGAGAAATATAAGCCATTATAATAACATATTTTAAATCTTTCTTCATTATTTTATAGTCCTATTTATATTCTCTCTCGGGGCGGCAGGTAGCGTAGTGGGTAAGAGCGTTGTGCCAGTAACCGAAAGGTCGTTGGTTCTAATCCCTGAGCCGACTAGGTGAAACATCTGTCGATGTGCCCTTAAGCAAGGCACTTAACCCTAATTGCTCATGTAAGTCGCTCTGGGTAAGAGCGTCTGCTAAATGACTAAACATGTAAATGTAAAAAAAATGTAATAACACTTTATTCATGATTCTTGTATTTATTGTTATTTTATTTAGGATTTTTGGTGTGTCCCTTAAAATACTTCGTTTGTTGTAATTCTCCATTTGTATGAAAGGGTTGTTTTCTTTAATGACATTCAGGAAGCCTCATCATTTCTTTGGTGGGAAAAACAAATATAAACACTCAGTTGTATCTATTTTTCCATGTTTCATGTTGTTAGTATGTATGTCCCACTCATAAATGTCCTCCCTGTTAGGCAAAATTACAGTATAAATTAAAAAATATATATATGTTAAAATATCCTGTTCAAGTGTTCGCCATTATGCTAGCTCAGTCTTGCTCACTCACAGAGCTATGGCTAATTTAGGCTCCAAAAAATACACCAGGAAATTTGCACACATTATGTCAAAATAAGTTAGATCCTCACCAAAACATGGAGTTTCGCAGAGCAACTATCAATCATCATTACTGTCGTTATGCACGGTATGTACTTCCAAAAAATGGCTGAATAAAATCAATGATCATTTGGGATACTATACTGCTGCTGGATCAGCCGACCTGTGAGTGGCAATAATGATGAGTGATTTTTATTGGAGGTGGCGAAGGTTGATTTGGCTCAAGCGTACTTGGTCAAAAACAAGTTATATGACATTATAACAATTGCAGAGCTAGTTAATGGTACTTTGAATTGAAAGATCCTGGGCGTCAGAGGAGATCTCGTCTCCTCAAGCCCAGGTACTGGTTCAGTGCGTTGTCTACTAACTACATATTTTTGTCAAACCTAAAGGGAGCAATGTAGGGCACACGACTTTAGCCATGACTTTAGCTTTGAGCAAGTGTCTTGGTTTGCAAGAGGAACTATTCAAACAACATGCCAAGTGCACTGCTTAATTTGGCAACCAGCCAGCTTATCGCTTGAGTAGGCTGTTTATTTAATAAAGTAAATAAGTAAACTCATCTTCAAGTTATGCCAACAGAATTCACTTGGGTACTACTATGTCATACATGCTCCACTCAAGTGAACCTTTTATGCAGGTTTGTGGAGTCTCAGAAGGATCCAGCTGGCAGCCCAGTGGTTCTTTGGCTGAATGGTGGACCTGGCTGCAGCTCCCTTGATGGTCTGCTCACAGAACATGGGCCTTTCTTGGTGAGGAGAACCCAAGATACATTCAATGGCCAGTTTTATTAGGCACACCCATCTAGTACCGGGTCGGAACCCCCTTTGCCTCCAGAACAGCCTGAATTCTTCGGAGCATGGAAACTTTGCTCAGTTGGTATCAAGGGACCAAATGTGTGCCAGAAAAACATTACACCACCACCACCAGCCTTTACCGTCGACACCAGGCAGGATGGGGCCATGGACTCATGCTGCTTTCGCCAAATCCTGACTCTGCCATCAGCATGACGCAACAGCAACCGGGATTCATCGGACCAGGCAACGTTTTTCCACTCCTCTATTGCCCAGTGTTGGTGATCGCTTGCCCACTGCTTCTTCTGGTTTTTAGCTGATAGGAGTGGAACCCTGTGTGGTCATCTGCTGCAATAGCCCATCCGTGACAAGGACCGACGAGTTGTGCGTTCCGAGATGCCGTTCTGCACACCACTGTTGTACTGCGCCATTATTTGTCTGTTTGTCGGCTGCCTGTTAGCTTGCACAATTCTTGCCATTCTCCTTCGACCTCTCATCAACGAGCTGTTTTCGCCCACAGGACTGCCGCTGACTGGATGTTTTTTGTTTGTCAAAAACATTCTCGGTAAACCGTAGACACTGTCGTGCGTGAAAATCCCAGGAGGCCGGAAGTTTGAGATACTGGAATCGGTGCGCCTGGCTCCGACGATCATACCACGCTCAAAGTCTCTTGCGTCACTCGTTTTGCCCATTCTAACGTTCAGTCGAACAGTAACTGAATGTCTCGTCTGTCTGCCTGCTTTATATAGCAAATCACGGCCAGAGTGGTTTGGAGCGAACCATTTTCGTGAACGGGGTGGTGTACCTAATCAACTGGCCACTGAGTGTATGTATAAATGATCTAGGTACCACTTTCAGTTTAGATGACTAACTTCTTAGAATGTTGCTAGTTAAAATTTCCTGCTGTTAATGTTCAAGAGGCCAATCTTACAACTGAAATTCACACGGTCTGCCATTTTAAAATGCTTTGGATCAGTTTTGTTTTGAAGAACCACTGGCTTGGCATAGTCTTTGAACGCGGTCTACTGTTTTCATTTCAGATTCAAGACGATGGCATGTCGCTGGAGTACAACCCCTATTCCTGGAACATGGTTTGTTTCTTTCCTCTAGCATATCTTCTCTAGCCTGGTCCCAGATCTGTTTGTGCTTTTGCCAACGCCATTGCTGTCATTGTCATGCCAATGATAAACAGACTGGCAATCAGGCTATATCTTATCTCAGTCTCAAAACGATTCCATTGGGTATCAGTGTTCTATTTATACACATTTGAAGAGTTACATCAGCTGTGATGTTTTTAGATTGCCAACGTGCTGTACCTGGAGTCACCAGCAGGTGTGGGATTTTCTTACTCTGATGATAAGAAGTACACCACCAATGACACTGAGGTGAGTGTTGTTCAAATGTGCACGTTTAGCTTGCCTTGGGTGGGATAAAACGGGCTGAAAACAGGTGGAGAGGGATGGGTTTGGCTTGGGGGAGAGCGAGAGAGAAGGAAGGATTTAACTATACTATAATGTAATTTATTTTTGTGACTTGCAAACCTGCTGTAAAATGAATAAGAGTTCTGAATACATTAGGAGAGGATGTTGAGTCGTTATTATTCCTTGTTTGTCATTATAGCTAAGATTCAATGGTGGTTATTGGTGAGAGTGGAGAGGGGCTCTATCCGAGGGATTGGGACTGGGTGGCTGGGAGGACATCAGACACTTCCCTGAAGTGTGTACGTGGGGCCTCCACTCATCTCCCTTCAGTCTCTCGGTGGACCCACTCTCCCCAAGTAGACCCCCACCATTCACTATTTCATTTTAATATAATTTACAAGGTAATACAAATTGACCACAGTACTTAATTGGCAGTCTTCTCCAATGTATCTACAATTACATTATCCACAGACTCTTGGTACATTAGGAGAGGAGTTGGAGCGTAAAAGCACTAAAAAGGCATAGCGCCTACTTTGCTTTATGTTTTTGGTCTTTTCTGTTAAATGTCTGCTCAGCCCACATGCTCACACGCTCTATACTGTATATGTAATGTATACAATAACTATGTATTCATACTATGACTCTCCCATTCCATGGAATTCCCACCGCCCTCATATGACATGTCTGCTAAAATGTTTTATCTGGTTCTTCAATGATAGACGGAACTTTGATTTTGTACAAGTAAAGACCAACAAAATCCAACTTATTACATGGAATGTGCACGGGCTCCATGATAAAAAAAAATAGCATATGGTTCTTGAACACATAAAGAGATTGTCAGCAGATGTATTTTTCCTGCAAGAGTTACTTAATTATTTTTAAAAAAAAGATTAATTTTATATTTAAAGAGGAGCTGGGTTGGAGAGGCCTATGCTGCCTTCTATTGTAGTAACAACAGAAGTGTAGGCATCCTAAAAATAAGAATACACAATTTTCCCTTATATCCCAGCACATGGACCAAGAGGGCTGTTTTCTAATGTTGAATTGTACCTTGCATAGTGAAAAATATACATTGATTTCATTGTATAACCCACCAGGGGCAAATCTGGTGTTTTTAGATAGAATTCAAGCTATATTAGATCAAATCCAGACAGGAAGTATTATTTTAGCTGGTGACCTAAATCAGACATTAGATAAGATTGACAGACATAGCAATAAAAAAAAAAGGCAAATTCAAGAACCTCTAAAAAGGCAGGAACATTTCAGCTCTACAAATAATTTACAGGACACCTGGAAATTACTATTCCCAACTACAAAAAACTACTCCTTTTCTTCTCAAAGTAAGAAAAGCTATTCAATAATTGACTACATTTTTATGGCCAAAAATGCTCTAAACAATTTACTGAGTTAAAAAAATCCATGACATAGGGATATCGGATCATTATCCTGTATCATACTTAATTACACCAACAGAAAATACACTTAGCGACAGAATATGGAGAATGAACAGAGCACATCTTCAATAACCGAAATGTATTAAATATGTAAATGAACAAATTAAAACCTTTACCATTACAAATGTAGACATAGAGGACAGAAAAAAATAAAATAATTAAAAACCGAGATCACCCAAAAATAAATAGTAGACACTGTTAAAACATTCACATGGAGAAAAGCTCCAGGTATGGGTGGCTTTCCCATATCATTTTATTTGACATTTTGGGACAAAGTTGCTCTCCTGTTTACACAAATAACAACAAACGTCACTCAATTCAGTGCTTCCTAGTTCCATGTATCAAACCAGTTATTTCAGTTATATTAAAACCAGGAAAATCTGGAGTCCCCTGCTGATTACAGACCCATAAGTTTAATAAATTGTGACAATAAAATAATAACAAAGCTCATAAGGAATGGCGAAAGTCTTACCAGACTTAATACATATCAATCAAACAAGGTTTATTAAAAATACACTTACAAACAAAATACAAGAACATGTTTCAGTTTTTTATACAAAACGCAAAAAAACAAGATATAGATTTATCAATAAAGGCTGTTGATGCCGAAAAGGCGTTTGAAGGTCTTGAATGGCCTTTTCTATTCAAAACTTCAGAAGCGTTCAACTTTCCAGCTGAATAATAAATTTCATAAAAATGTTATAAATGTCCTAAAGCAAAAATATACACAAGTAATACATTTATCTAATGAAAGGGGCACAAGACAGATGTCGTCTCTCCCCCCTCCTGTTTGCACTGGCAATTGAACCGCTTGCAGAAAGAATTAGACAGGAGCCAAACATAACAGGTATCACTATTGGTAAACATTAATATAAACTAAACTTATTTGCAGATGATCTCCTGATATACCTGACCAGTATTACAATCTCAGGATATAAAATGAACATGGAAAAACACAAAATAATGGCAATAGGAAAAAGACTAACTAATGATCTACAACAATCCTTTAAGTGGACCACAAAAAATATCAAACGCTTAGGACGTTTAAGTGACAACCAAAAAATCTTTATGTATATCTCATTACTCAACAATATAAGCAGATCTAATTAAATGGAACAATCTTCCCATAAATCCTAATGGTAGAATAAACCTCTTCAGAATGGCATGGCTTCCAAAGTTTTTATATTTATTCTTGGTAATACCAATTACCCTACCGAAGACATTCTTTAAAGTATACTCAGCCATAAGATACTTTTTATATGGGCAAATAATATTCAGAATAAAAAGGGAAGTTTGACATCTTCCTAAGTCCGAGGGTGGTTTTAACCTTCCAGTCTTGGAATTGTATCAACTCGCCACCCAAGGCTTTTACTTGCAACATATTGTTAAATGCACAAAAGCGGAACAATGGGTACATATTGAAGATGCGCATGCTCATCCTCAATCTTTTCACGAGTCTATTCTCAATGGATAAAGCTAAGAACATTAACAACTTCATAGTTAAGAAAACTATAACAATACGGAAGAAAATGAAACGTATACTACAAGAACCAATATCACTCCTAAAAACACAACCCTATGGAACAATCCTTGGATAGGTTTTCAGAATTTCACTGATAAATTGGCCTATATCAAAAACTAAAGGCATAGAAAACTGTAAAAAATTATTCCATTACAGAATTAAAAAGCAATTTTGGACTGAACAATGTAGACATTTTCAAATGCATGCAACTTAAATGTTTTATCACGAAATTTCCACCAGAAATCTTTTGGACATCAGAGCAATGTTGAGGGAATTCTATTTGACTCGGAAAAGGATACACATATGACAGGTAATACAGTATATACAAAACCTTGAAGAAAGCCTATCCAACTGACAATATGTAAAAAAAACAATAATAATACAGAAACTATTGGAATCAAGACTTAAAAATAACTGATATAGGCACAAGATGGGGTGTTGAAACATAACTAACAAAATTGCAGTTAACAAAAATGTAAGCTTAATACGGTATAAACTCATGTATAGAATATATTATACAAGAGACAAAATTCACATTCTACAGCACAACGGCAGTCATGTCTTAAGTGTAAAACCAACAAGGACTCAATAATTCATGCCTTCTGGGAGTGCAATAAAGTGCAAAAGTTATGGGCGGCGTTAGGAAGTTGGCTGTCAGAAGTTTTGCAATGTAAGTTTACTTTTAATCCGTCATTCAAGACATGCCATATGAGGGTGCGGTGAAATACCCAATGGTGTGGACCATGTCTCGTCAATGATGAAAAAAAAACTACTTAAAATCAAATGATCCTCCATCACTAAGACGGAATCAAATGTATTATGATTTCAATATTGAAAGGTTGTGGGCTACGGATAAAAATAGAACAGTGCAATTTGACGCCATATGGCATGGAGTGCTACAAGCACTGGAAAGTTCCGGGGGATGAAGGATGAGGGGGAGTGTGGTTGTGAGAAATTTCTTGATGTGTGTGGTTGAGGTGGGAGCATGTGGGTCTGAGCAGGTGTGATGTCATTGATGTTTGTTGAAATTTGTGTGCGTCTTATTGTTTTTTTGGTAACACTTTACTTGACGCCCAGCGTCATAACACGTTATGACACAGTCATAACATGTCATAATGTCATATGTCATAACAGCTGACATACAGTGCATTTGGAAAGTATTCAGACCCCTTGACTTATTCCACTTCTTTATAGTCCGAACCTGTCATATGGTCATAACACTGTCATGACACACATATTTACACCTGTTGTGATGTATATTGTGTTATTTTTATGGCTGGTTATGACACTTACATAACAGTGTCAAAACCAACAAAACCTACCACACAAGGCAAAACATTCCATTACACCATAGCCTACTTGTCAACAGTTATATAACATTTTCTGAAATTGACCATATGAAATGATCATTATAATTGCACACACATTGATGTCAGACATGCACCTACTCCAATGCTCTGCTGCTGAGGACTGGGATGAATGCAGAAGCAGATTTCAGTAGCAGGACAAGACACCCTCTTCTGGACTGATGATTGATATAAGGACATGTACGTGATAGGCCTATCTGGCTTATATGATTATGATGGTCATAATGCTTCTTTACAGTGTCATAAAGTGTATTTTCTTAGTCCAAGTAAAGTGACACAGGATGGTCACAATGCTTTATGACGGTGTCATAAAGTGTATTTTCTACAAGTTGATGGAAAAAAAACATGTAAAGAATTATATAAAAATCCTAGAAATTTACCACATTTCTGGTAGTTTACTTGTAAACTTGGAACGTTTTCAGTAATATACCCTCCCTTTCCAACCCTTGTTGGAACTGTACATAATCTAAGTGAGTTCAAAATGGACTTTTCTTGTCTAGGTGTCCATGAACAACTACCTGGCCTTGAAGGAGTTCTTCAAAGCCTTCCCAGAGTACAGCAAGAATGAGTTATTCCTGACAGGTGAGAGCTACGGAGGCGTCTACATTCCCACCCTTGCAGAGAGAGTGATGGAGGACGCCAGCATGAACCTGCAGGTGAGAAAGAGATGACCTGCGACACAAATTGCCCTATGAGCCCTGGTCAAAAGTAGTCAACTTCATAGGGAATAGGGTGCCCCTCCCAATACCAACCCTTCCCAGTGGGCCTGAAAGCAAAGAAAGTAAAAAAGATAAATGTGTATATACAGTACCAGTCAATAGTTTGGACACACCTACTCATTCAAGGGTTTTTCTTTATTTTTACTATTTTCTACATTGTAGAATAATAGCGACGACATCAAAACTATGAAATAACACACATGGAATCATGTAGTAACCAAAGTAAGGGCTATTTTACCAAGAAGGAGAGTGATGGAGTGCTGCATCAGATGACCTGGCCTCCACAATCCCCCGACCTCAACCCAACTGAGATGGTTTGGGATGAGTCGGACGGCAGAGTGAAGGAAAAGCAGCCAACAAGTGCTCAGTTTATGTGGGAACTCCTTCAAGACTGTTGGAAAAGCATTCCAGGTGAAGCTGGTTGAGAGAATGCCAAGAGTGTGCAAAGCTGTCATCAAGGCAAAGGGTGGCTATTTTTGAAGAATCTCAAATATACAATATATTGATTTGTTTAACACTTTTTTTGGTTACTACATTATTCAATATGTGTTATTTCATAGTTATGATGTCTTCACTATTTTTCTACAATGTAAAAAATAGTATAAATAAAGGAACTCTTGAATGAGTAGGTGTGTCCAAACTTTTGTGTGTTTGGGCTTTATAGATTGTTTATTTGTGTGTTGGGCTTTAGGTGAGATTATTCTTTAGAGTCAAGTATATTTGTAAAGGCCTCGATTTGTTTCTTGACTAGCACCATTCATTCTCGCTGACAATGTTATAACTTTCTAATAGTAACTGTGTCCACTGGTGAATTGGGGGAGAGTGAGGTGATTGCCATCTAAGAGCAAACATATTTTTTTGCGGCAGTGCTTCCTGCAAGCAGTGATCGTCTCTGATTTATTGAGAGATTCAAGGCGCTATCATCGTTAATTAACATAATATTCAATGCTTTGCTTCTACTTACATTTGTGCACTTCGAAATGAATTCTGTAACTTTGTCCCAGAAGCATTTACTGCAGGGCACTCTCACATCACATGAAGGAATGTGCCTACATGATTTAGGGGACACGGTGAACAGTAGTACACTTAATAGGGTGCCATTTGGGATGCTTATGTTGGACTTTTTTATTCTCTTCAGTAACTTGCTCTCCCCCTCCAAATCGGAATGAATTGAATAAGCAAAATCAATATGGGGGTTAACTACTTAGCCTATTTGTAGGCTATTGCATAGCTTTATGTTCAGGACTCCTCATAATCAGAAGAACAAATATGTTTGTATTCATTTTTCTCCCAGGGTATTGCAATTGGCAATGGGATGTCCAGTTATGAGATGAATGACAACTCTCTCGTCTACTTTGCTTACTACCATGGACTCCTTGGGACAAGGTACGGTTATGGCGTTTTCCTCAAATATAATGTATTCGTCACATATACAGTTTACTGCAGGTATCAAAGGTGCAGCGTAATGCTTATGTGCTAGCTCCCTCAACAATGCAGTACATTGGTAACATCCTGTCTTCTGTGAGTTTTCATGGCCTGGTCCCAGATCCCTTTCTGCTCTTGTCAACTCCATCGCTGTCATTGTCAAGCCAAACATGTTTGGCATGACCATGTGTGAGGAGGAGTTGGCATCATGGCACGAACAGACTAGTGCTAAGTCAGGCTAGATGATGACTGGTAACATGGTTCTGTCTTTCTGTCAGGTTGTGGACTGACTTGCAGGCCTATTGCTGCAAAGATGAAAATTGTGACTTCTACCACAATCAGAACCCCAACTGTTCCCACAATGTGAGTCCATTTACTTGGATGGATTCTCCATTGAGAGATCTTGGGGATTTATTTACAGGATGTTTGGGGCACATTGATTCTCGCAATGGAAATTAGTAAATACCTTAATGGAGAGAAAGTGGTCACTCAATAAATTGACATCACATTTAGAAATGTAAATCTTCAGAAGGCGAGGGATATTCAATAGTTGCAATGACTGTAGATCATGTGTACGTTCTCTTGTCTATATTCTGTCTGTATATTCTGTTTGTCAGCACCATTTCACCCGGTCAAATGCCTGTTAAATGAACTTGGCGAATAAAGGTGATTCTGATGACCAGTGGTAAATCTGACAAATTGTAACATTTTTAAAATCTTTCCCCAATGTATTCCTCTACAGTACTTTCAGAAAATATTCACACCCCTTGACTTTTTCCATATTTTGTTGTGTTACAGCCTGAATTTAAAAAAGGATTCAACCCCTTTTGTTATGGCAAGCCTAAATAAGTTCAGGCGTAAAAATGTGCTTAATAAGTTGCATGGACTCACTCTGTGTGCAATAATATTGTTTAACATGATTTTTGAATGACTAGGGGGCAGGGGGGGGGATCTATTTAATTCATTTTGAATTCAGGCTGTAATACAACAAAATGTGGAATAGTTGAAGGGATATGAATACTTTCTGAAGGCACTGTACCTTTGTTTTTTTGTTTTCTTTTACCCCTAGATTGCTGAGGTGCAATATATTGTCTACAGCTCTGGACTGAACATGTACAACCTCTATGCCGCCTGTCCTGGAGGGGTTGGCCAGAGAGTCAGGTAAGACCATTAGCCGACACCAATGGCGACAGCTAGTCTTACTGGGGTCCGACACATAACGAAAAATACATTGCAGACAAAATACTTCATAATTTACATACACTACTGTTCAAAAGTTTGGGGTCACTTCGAAATTTACTGTGAAGAGGCGACTCCGGGATGCTGACCTTCTAGGCAGAGTTGCAAAGAAAAAGCCATATCTCAGACTGGCCAATAAAAAGAAAAGATGAAGGGGCAGTCTGAGATATGGCTTTTTCTTTGCAACTCTGCCTAGAAGGTCAGCATCCCAAAGTCGCCTCTTCACTGTTGACGTTGAGACTGGTGTTTTGTAGGGACTATTTAATGAAGCTTCCAGTTGAGGACCTGTGAGGTGCCTGTTTCTCAAACTAGATACTCGAATGTATTTGTCCTCTTGCTCAGTTGTGAACCGGCGCCTCCCACTCCTCTTTCTATTCTGAATAGAGCCAGTTTGCGCTGTTCTGTGAAGGGAGTAGTACACAACGTTGTACGAGATCTTCAGTTTCTTGACAATTTCTCGCATGGAATAGCCTTCATTTCTCAGAACAAGAATAGACTGACAAGTTTCAGAAGAAAGTTGTTTGTTTCTGGCCATTTTGATCCTGTAATCGAACCCACAATTGCTGATGCTCCAGATACTCAACGAGTCTCAAGAAGGCAACTTTTATTGCTTCTTTAATCAGCACAACAGTTTTCAGCTGTGCAAACATAATTGTAAAAGGGTTTTCTAATGATCAATTAGTCTTTTAAAATTATAAACTTGGATTAGCCAACACAACGTGCCATTGGAACACAGGACTGATGGTTGCTGATAATGGGCCTCTGTACACCTATGTAGATATTCCATTAAAAATCAGCCGTTTCCAGCTACAATAGCCATTTACAACATTAACAATGCACTGTATTTCTGATCAATTTGATGTTATTTTAATGGACAAAAAAAATGCTTTTTCTTTTGAAAAGCAGGACATGTGTAAGTGAGCCCAAACTTTTGAACGGTAATGTATTTTAAAAAAACATGAACTGTGTGTGTGTGTGTCAGTTACACAAACATGTCAATACAGTGCATTCGGAAAGTATTCAGACCCCTTGACTTTTTCCACATTCTAAAATTGATTAAATCGTTTTTTTTGCTCATCAATCTACACACAATACCCCATAATGATAAAACAAAAACAGGTTTTTATACATTTTTACAAATGTATAAAAATTAAACTAAAATATGACATTTACATAAGTATTCAGACCCTTTACTCAGTACTTTGTTGAAGCACCTTTGGCAGCGATTACAGCCGCTTCTTTGGTATGACGCTACAAGCTTGGCACACCTGTATTTGGGGAGTTTCTCCCATTCTTCTCTGCAGATCCTCTCAAGCTCTGTCAGGTTAGATGGGGAGCGTAGCTGCACAGCTATTTTCAGGTCTCTCCAGAGATGTTCGATTGGGTACAAGTCTGGGCTCTAGCTGGGCCACTCAAGGACATTCAGAGACTTGTCCCGAAGCCACTCCTACGTTGTCTTGGCCGTGTGCTTAGGGTCGAGGTCCTGAGCCCTCTGGAGCAGGTTTTCATCAAAGATCTCTCTGTACTTTGCACCGTTCATCTTTCCCTCGATCCTGACTAGTCTACCAGTCCCTGCTGCTGAAAAACATCCCCACAGCATGATGGTGCCACCACCATGCATCACCGTAGGCATGGTGCCAGGTTTCCTCCAGACGTGACGCTTGGCATTCAGGCAAAATAGTTCAATCTTGGTTTCATCAGACCAAAGAATCTTGTTTCTCATGGTCTGAATGTCCTTTAGGTGCCTTTTGGCAAACTCCAAGTGGGTTGTCATGTGCCTTTTACTGGGGAGTGCCTTCCGTCTGGGCCCTCTACCATAAAGGCCTGATTGGTGGAGTGCTGCAGAGATGGTTGTCCTTCTGGAAGATTCTCCCATCTCCACAGAGGAACTCTGGAGCTCTGTCAGAGTGACTATCGGGTTCTTGGTCACCTCCCTGACCAATGCCCTTCTCCCCCGATTGCTCAGTTTGGCCAGGCGGACAGCTCTAGGAAGAGTCTTGGTGGTTCCGTACTTCTTCCATTTTAAGGATGATGGGGGCTACTGTGTTCTTGGGGACCTTCAATGCCGCAGACATTTTTTGGTACCCTTCCCCAGATCTGTGCCTCGACACAATCCTGTCTCCGAGCTCTACGGACAATTCCTTCGACCTCATGGCTTGGTTTTTGCTCAGACATGCACTGTCAACTGTGGGACCTTTATATAGACAGGTGTGTGCCTTTCCAAATCATGTCCAATCAATTGAATTTACCACAGGTGGACTCATCTCAAGGATGATCAATGGAAACAGGATGCACCTGAGCTCAATTGCGAGTCTCATAGCAAAGGTTCTGAATACTTATGTAAATAAGGTATTTCTGTTTATTTTTAATACATTTGCAAAATAATTATAAAAAACTGTTTTCACTTTGTCATTATGGGGTATTGTGTGTAGATTGAGGACATTATTTTTTCATTTAATCCATTTTAGAATATGGCTGTAATGTAACAAAGTGGAAAAAGTCAAGGGGTCTGAATACTTTCCGAATGCACTGTAAATACACACAAAAAGTAGTTTTGAAAATGCACCAACAGAGTTAACGCCAAAGTTGGGTCAATAGAATTTCTATTCAGTAAGCAAACTGAAGTTCCACTGAGATTTTTTTTTATTGGAATTTCAGTTTACTTCCTACATTGACTAAATATAAATCGAATTGACCCCCTACCTTAGTTAACGCACAAGAGCCATGGTAATCTAACCGACCAATATCTCAGACCTGCACAGGTAAAGCCAGTAGGTGTCTCTCCAGATTTGTAAATGTCCTCTTGCTCTGTGTTTTCACTGTAGCATTGACAATGGGCACGTGGTGATTCGAGATCTGGGGAACAGTTTCATCAACCATGAATGGACTCGGCTGTGGAACCAGGTAAATATGAATGACATTGCCTTTTTTTATTGTTAAGTGATGCATTCGGCTGAGGACATATGTGTCAATTGTGACTTTTACATATTTTTTATGTATCTTTGAATGTTCACCTTCTGGCTGATTGTTATAATAATTTATTAGCTGTACATGATGGTCATTTCTAGTTTTGGTTATTCGATCAGTCCATTTAGTTAGAATTTCTGTGTTGGAAATCTCATCAGTAAGGCTGGGTATATACAGTGCATTCGGAAAGTATTCAGACCCCTTGCCTTTTCCACATTTTGTTACGTTACAGCCGTATTCGGTAATTGATTAAATAGTTTTTTCCCCTCATCAATCTACACACAATACCACATAATGACAAAGCAAAAACAGGATTTTATAAATTTTTGCTAATTTATAAAAAATAAAAACTGAAATATCACATTTACATAAGTATTCAGACCCTTTACTCAGTACTTTGTTGAAGCACCTTTGGCAGCGATTACAGCCTCAAGTCTTCTTTAGTATGACGCTACAAGCTTGGCACACCTGTATTTGGGGAGTTTCTCCCATTCTTCTCTGCAGATCCTCTCAAGCTCTGTCAGGTTAGATGGGGAGCGTTGCTGCACAGCTATTTTCAGGTCTCTCCAGAGATGTTCGATTGGGTTCAAGTCTGGGCTCTGGCTGGGCCACTCAAGGACATTCAGAGACTTGTCCCGAAGCCACTCCTGCGTTGTCTTGGCTGTGTGCTTAGGGTCGTTTTCCTGTTGGAAGGTGAACCTTTGCCTTCAATGCTGCAGAAATATTTTGGTACCCTTCCCCAGATCTGTGCCTCGACACAAACCTGTCTCAGAGCTCTATGGACAATTCCTTCGACCTCATGGTTTTTGCTCTGAAATGCGCTGTCAACTGTGGGACCTTATATAGACAGGTGTGTGCCTTTCCAAATCATGTCTAATCAATTGAATTGACCTTAGTTGGACTCCAATCAAGGTGTAGAAACATCTCAATGTTGATGATCAATGGAAACAAGATGCACTTGAGCTCAATTTCGAGTCTCATAACAAAGGGTATGAATACTTATGTAAATAAGGTATTTCAGGTTTTTATTTTTAAATGTGCAACATTTTCTAAACTTCGCTTTGTCATTATGGGGTATTGTGTGTAGCTTGAGGATTTAGTATTTAATTTTTTACGTCCATTTTAGAATAAGTCTATAACGTAACGAAATGTGGAAAAAGTCAAGGGGTCTGAATACTTCCCGACGGCACTGTACTTCACCAAGCGGTCTCTGTAGCGAAACGTTACCAGAGCATGCATAGACTTTCAACCTACGGCATGCACCAAAATGTCTGCGAGGAGCCCTCTGTACGGTGCATGGTAAGTCACAATATGCTTACAGAGTATGAGTGGGGTCAATACGAATTGAAGTCAGTCAATCACGAAGTAAACTGAAATTCCAATTCAATAATTGAAAAGGGGCATACATTTTCAATGACTTTAATAACTAAAATGGAGAAACTATTTATATAAAATGTTTAATTTTAAATCACTTCCTAAATTGACTGACTTCAATTTGAATTGACCTCAACCCTGGTCTAGTGGAGCATAAATCCAGCCTTAGTTGTGTACCTCTCTGTTGGTCTTGTAGAAGCTGAAGGCCATGGCGTCTCAGTACAAGCGAGTGAGGCTGGACCCTCCCTGCACCAACTCCACTCCGTCCACCCTGTACCTGAACAACCCCTATGTCAAAGCAGCCCTCCACATCTCCCCCTCCGCTCTTCCCTGGGTGATATGCAGGTGAGTGAGGTATTACATTTTTAGCTACAAGGATGAGGCAGAGAGACGTGAGTCAAGTTAACATTTTTAGTGGGTAGATTATATGGCCAAGATACGGGTCATACAGCTGGGTCTTGACATTGACCAATATGGATTACCCCTTTACGGGACAGGAGGTGTTTGTACAACGTCATGGGTAACATTGTGTATAATTGACACCATTTTGTCATCTTGCTGTTTGTGAGGTACAGACAGGACTTATTTCCCCCATCACTGTATCAAAGTAAATAACTCAGTCTTTTACAACCTGTAGGTGTATACATATCTTGAACTATCTTGACCACAGTTTAATTGTGTTAATCCATGCTGTTACAGTGCTGAGGTGAATCTGAACTACAACCGTCTGTACATGGACGTGAGGAAGCAGTACCTGAAGCTTTTGGGAGCTCTGGTGAGTTTTTTTAATAGACCTGATTTCAAAGACATTTTCTTCCAAATTCTGTGCTTGACTCGGCTTGCCTGGCAAAATAAATCAATAGTATAGTCCCAAAAGTGCAAACCCTGCCCATCTGGCACTCCAGGCAGGCTCAATCAAACGCTCAACGTATTTGAAAGAAAACATAATATTTGATCCCAGGTCTGAACGTGATTGATGATTAGTGGTCTTGGCAGTAGTGCTAGAAATGTCTGTCAGTCTCTCCTGTAGAAGTACAGAGTGCTGGTGTACAACGGAGACGTGGACATGGCCTGCAACTTCCTTGGGGACGAGTGGTTCGTGGAGTCACTCCAGCAAGAGGTACATGAACTGTTTTTACCTTTTGCACAAGACCCTACGTGACAAAGGACAGAAAAAGAGAACACTGAACAGAACTAAACAGAAATGAGGCTGCTGGTGTCATGTCTGGTTCTATGCACTCCGTAGAGAAGTTTCCCTTGGGTACAGATCTAGGATCTGATTCCCCTCCCACAATCCTAACCTTAACCATTATTGGGGAAAATGCTTCACCCCACACCATTCTATGCTGTGGCTTGAGCCCTGGCTGTGTCTGTCCGTCCCCAGGTCCAGGTGAAGAGGAGGCCATGGACCTACTACACCGGCGAGAGTCAGCAGGTGGGCGGCTTCGTCAAGGAGTTCTCCAACCTGGCCTTCCTCACCGTCAAGGTAAGGACGCATTTCAAACCATCGAAATAGAATTGGAATCTGTATTCCATTATTAGAATTACCTGTTAATCTGTGGATATACAGATTTATGGCTGCAAGGACTATCTTTTGGAACATATATTCCATTAACACGCTGAACAAACACCCTAAACCCATTAACATGACAGAACATGTATGAAGAAAAATAGAAAATGGAGTTAATTTCTAGTATTGCAGAGCCAAGTACTGAAATGTCTGGTCAGAATAGAGAACCCCTTGCCCTCTCCACTAGCCCCTAGCATATCCATCCTGTAAATGGCTTGGCAGATCTGAGGTGAAAAGCAATATTGGGGAAGCTCCCCTAAACCCCACTAGGTGGAGCCATTGTAACAGACTTTGTTTTACATGCACACGACAAGACTTTGGATAAGCTCACTGAGCTAATTGGGGGGCTAATGCAAGTCTTCAGATCTCAGGCAAGACGTCGGTTCACTGAACAATTGCTTCCACCCATCCCGTCCCTAGACATTAGACCACAAAGGAATAGGGGATTGTAGGGGGAGATTATTGCTAGATGTTGTCTCAGACCAGACACTATGTTTTGCTGCCAGATATACAGTGAGCTCAAAAAGTATTGGGATGGTGACAATTTTTTGCTGTTGTTTTGGCTCTGTACTCCAGCTCTTTGGATTTGAAATGATACAATGACAATGAGATTAAAATGCAGACTGTCAGCTTTAATATGAGGGTCTTTTCATCCATATCGGGTGAACCGTTTTAGAAATTACATCACTTTTTGTACATAGTCCACCCATTTTAGGGGACCAAAAGTATTGGGACAAATTCACTTGTGTATTAAAGTAGTCAAAAGTGTTGTATTTGGTCCCATATTTCTAGCACGCAATGATTACGCATAATCCTGAATGAATCCTAAATAATGATGAGAGACAAAGTTAGACGCATAAATATCATACCCCCAAAAATGCTAACCTCCCCTGTTATTGGAATGGTGAGAGATTAGCATGTCTTGGGTTATGATATTTGTGCATCTAACTTTCTCACTCATCATTATTCATGATTCATTCAGGACTATCCGTAAGTGTGTAGAGTCACAAGCTTGATATAATCATTGCGTGCTAGGAATATGGGATCAAATACAAAACTTTTGACTACTTTAATACTCATATAAGTGAATTTGTCCCAATACTTTTGGTCCCCTAAAATGGGGGGACTATGTACAAGAAGTGCTGTAATTTCTAAACGGTTCACTCGATATGATTGAAGATGCCGTCAAATTAAAGCTGAATATCTGCACTTTAATAAACCTAGAGTCTATTGATACACCAGTGCATCAATCTAAGTAACATAACAAAAAAATCCCCATAAAAATCCATCAGTTTAAGCTAGAGATATATTGTTTTGCATGGGCTGCGTCTCAATCCACAACATCCGGCTATGGCGGCCTTCCGCATTTGCGGTGGAAGGTGGCCGAGCTACAGCGGTGTTTGTCAGACCATGAGACATCCCGAAAATCGGTCTTCTCAAGAAAACGTCTGCAGCGTCGAACTGTTTGGCCAGCAAACTAATATGACCCCTCTATGGAAAGATGAGACTCTCGCAAACACTATGGGGTTTGCTCCATGACCTCCACAAGTGTCACAGGACTCGTTTGAAGGTAACGGTACTGGTTAAAATTTGTTTTAACTGGAAGTCGTTTTGTGCCTACCCAGAAAAGGGGTTAAATATGTGTAAAATATACTTATTTCCCTCATTTAAATGCAAATCAATTTATAACATTTTTGACAAGCGTTTTTCTTGATTTTTTTGTTGTTATTCTGTCTCTCACTGTTCAAGTAAACCTACCATTAAAATTATAGACTGATCATGTCTTTGTCAGTGGGCAAACGTACAAAATCAGCAGGGGATCAAATACTTTTTTCCCTCACTGTATATATATATATATATGTACACACACACACCAAAAGGGCTAAAAAAAATTCTAAATCAAATAGCTAAATTATCCATAGTATGACCATCTTAAAACAATGATGTATGTCAGCTTGGAAACCCCCCCCCCCCCCCAAAAAAAAAAACAAGAACACCTTTGTCACAGTCCCAATACCTTTGGAGCTCACTGTACATTGTAGCAGTAGCCTACATCCCAATCACTGCAGTAAAAAGCTCCCAACATTCCTCTCTTGGGAAGCAGGTACTGTGATTAGAACACACCCATTTTCTTAACATGTAATCTGTGGCTTGATGCTAAACATCTAGATTAGTAGCACATTCCTATCCGAAAAAGAAAAGTAAATGCTTTAAACCAGGGTTGTGTTCATTAGACACCAAAAAATGAAAACGGACTGAAATGGGGAGGGACTTCTTTGACTTGTTCAATAAGTAAAAAAACAAAACAAAAAAATCTGTAGCAAATTTATTTTTTCATATTTTTCCTTTGCCTTCCCTAGTGAACATGACTCAGTTCACCGGCAGATCGCTAGTCATCTTCTACTTTTGTTTATCAACAGGGTTCAGGCCACATGGTCCCCACAGACAAGCCCGTCGCTGCCTTCACCATGTTCACTCGCTTCATCAAGAAACAGCCCTACTGATCTGGGGCCTGTGAAAAAAGCCTACAGGAATGGCCCACTCTCTCTCTCTCCACTGTTTATCTCATTTGATTTGCACTAGCTCATGGTGAAAAGCACTGGTTCGTATCCAAAGACCACTGACATATCCTCCAAGCATTTCGTTAGCCTGATCCCAGATCTGTTTATGCCATTTTGTCAACCATAGCCTACTCCTATCTATACAGCACCAACTGATCTGGGACCAGGTTTAGTGTTTTGTTGTCCTAGCCTATGAGTTTTGTATTGGCGTCTGCTTTGGGTGTTTGATCATGCTGTGATAAGATGCTGCTGTACCCTGCCAAATGAATTTGAGGTATAAAGGCCATTGTGTGATTAGCAATACGATCAAGATTTGTCATTCACCATCGCATTGATTTCATCTGTTTGCACTTGTTAATAATAATAATAATAATAATATGCCATTTAGCAGACGCTTTTATCCAAAGCGACTTACAGTCATGCGTGCATAAATTTTTGTGTATGGGTGGTCCCGGGGATCGAACCCACTACCTTGGCGTTACAAGCGCCGTGCTCTACCAGCTGAGCTACAGAGGACCGATCATGTCTTTGTCAGTGGGCAAACGTACAAAATCAGCAGGGGATCAAATACTTTTTTCCCTCACTGTATATATATATATATATATATATATATATATATATATATATATATGTACACACACACACCAAAAGGGCTAAAAAACGTGTTGATTGTATGTATTCAGCATTCGATGGTACACAAGGCAATGGTGTGGTTCATCCACTATGGGATGAATCCTAACTTGCTCTTAAGTCAAATTTTCCATGAGTCTCCCACTGACATCAATGCATAACTACGTGGAAATTCAACTTAAGTGTAAGTTAGAATTTGCCCCTAAGTAATTGCCTTAAATCGCAGTCTATGTAGTCAAGGGGATCTGTTCACTGTCAGGAATTGTCTTTTGAAAAGGAACAAACGCCTCTAGATGTACAGTAATTCAACGATATAATAGTAGATATATCGATGTGCCTCATCACAGAAATGAATACTTGGAATCACTTTGATAAAAAGGGAACTTGTCTTTGCTTCAGCTGTATTCACATTGATTCTGTCATGATTTTATAATAAAACGGTTCTTTACCAATAATTCACTTGTGAGTGATTTGTCAGAGATTACAAGTAAATGTAGTTGTTTTTGTCTTTTTACAACAAAAAAAATACTGATTTATTAAACATTTTGTCATACTGAATGTTGTTCAGTTATGCCTTAGTTACACATGTAAGGAAAGCCTTTTGATCATTGAAAACTCTTTGCAGGTATGAAGCCATATTACAAAAGTAAGGTTTTTAGGTTTTCAGTTAACATTCATTAAACATTTCATATCTCATACAGTACATTTTATTTCTCACCAGCTAGCTCTCATTTGACTAATGGTAAAGTAAAGAAGGCATTTTTGTTTGTAGAAACACATGTGAAATGAGTTAAGTTTAGCATATATTATACAGTTAAGCATTGTCATTTTTAAGAGGATGGTGAAGAGCACACAATTAATTCTCATGACATTAACATGGGCATTGACATGACCATGGGTCAGGTAGTGTTTTGAGTAGTGCCCTCACAAATACAGGATGCGCCCTTCTGAGGCAAGAATTTTGTTGATTATCTCTATACACTATAAAAATAGGCAGCAGTATAAAAGTATCTTTAAAGCACTTTTCAAAATAGCAATAAATGGGGGAAAAAAATACTAAAGTTGTGGTACTATTACGGTGATCTTTATACATAAGCATGATTTGTATTGTCCAATTCGCTCTCATAGAAATTGGAACGTTGCAGCCTAGTGTATTATCTTGGATCCTTAAAAGATTTTGAATCTGCATGATTTGGTGAATTCGTTAAGGTAGAGCCTGCTACATGTTGTAGATAAGGAATGTGCCTTGAAGACATAGAGACACCGGATTGGCTGTGTGTTTGTATCGAAGATATCTATCCTTGGTTATTGCTGGTGGAGAATTCTCTTTTAGATGGCGTTCTCGGCATCAGCCTGGATCTTCCTCTCAATCACCTCCCTCAGGCCCTTGCTGAAATGTAGGTTTGCCCCAATGATGAGGTAACCCTGAAAGGTCAAGTGAAAGGTGGGAGAAGCTGCTTAGCTAGAATTTGATTAGTATATCAAATGTGTCCTTCTCGCATAGTAGAAGTAACAGAAGCCTTGAGACTTACGTTATGATACTCCACCACTTCCGCTATGAAGTCCATACCATCTGCAAGAGGGATAGCGACGCCTCTCTTGGTCCAGTCTGAAATTGTATTACGGATGAAGGCTTGAAAATACAAAGTCAACAATCAATTGAAAAAATACATGTTTTTGTTATCTGAGTTACATGTTTTATGGACATTGAGTATTTATTGTGGGGTTAAACTGATCTGCTTTAAAAGGATACTCACTATTGATGATAGGTACTATTGATATCTGCAGCATAGTCTTGAGGGGGCCTTGTAGGGGAATAAGCTATAGAGACAGAACAAAGAGACATACCTGTGATATATTACTGTAAGCTTTGGAAGGGTTAATGGTAGGGGAGACCGTGGATGGCTGTCTCGCATGTTGAGTTCATCTAAAATCAGCCCCCGTTGTGACAGGGGGAATGGAAGCATGGAGTGGCAATTGAATGCAAGCTTCACCAAAAATGTGAAATAGTTAAAACATTATAGCCTGTGTATCTATAGGTAACAGGGTTGGCGTGTTATGCTCGACATCAGTCTTCCAACACAAAACAACAGAAAATGGCGAAAAATAGTAGAACCAGCTCAACTGCTTTTACACTGATTTGGCTATTAGATGTTAAATGTTTCTTTTAGAATGTTTTTTGATTTTTTTAATGAATTGTTTCACCAAATTAAAACGAGAGTTCAGTTCACGTAATAGGGTTGTCCTTAAAATGAGGGACAGGGATACAGTGCCTTCAGAAAGTATTCACACCCCTTGACTTTTTCCACATTTTGTTGTGTTACAGCCTGAATTTCAAATGGATTCAATTGAGAGAGAAAAAATGTCACTGGCCTACACACAATACCCCATCATTTCAAAGTGGAATTATGTTTTTTGAATTTTTTACAAATTAATTAAAAATGAAAAGCTGAAATTTCTTGAGTCAATAAGTATTCAACCCCTTTGTTATGGCCAGCCTAAATAAATTCAGGAGTAAAAATGTGCTTAACAAGTCACACAATACACTGAACAAAAATATAAACGCAACATGTAAAGTGTTGGTCCCATGTTTCATGAGCTGAAATACAAGATCTCAGACATTTCCCATAAACACAAAAAGCTTATTTCTCTAAAATGTTGTGCACAAATTTGTTTACATCCCTTTTAGTGAGCATTTTGCCAAGATAATCCATCCATTTGACAGGTGTGGCATATCAAGAAGCTGAATAAACTGCATGAACATTACACAGGTGCACCTTGTGCTGGGTACAATAAAAGGCCACTTTAAAATGTGCAGTTTTGTCACACAACACAATACCACATATGTATCAAGTTTTGAGGGAGCGTGCAATTGGCATGCTGACTGCGGGAATGTCGACCAGAGCTGTTGCCAGAGAATTTAATGTTAATTTCTCTACCATAAGCTGCCTCCAACATCGTTTTAGAGAATTTGGCAGTATGTCCAACTGGCCTCACAACCGCAGACCATGTAAATGGCGTCATGTGGGCGAGCGGTTTGCTGATGTCAACGATGTGAACAGAGTGCCCCATGGTCCCAGCATCACCCATAGACATAGTTACACAGTAAATCAAGGAGAGTTGAAATCACAGAGTAAAAAAATGTAGAGTTCAATTGACTACTGGAGTTGTCATAAGCATAAGCTACGGACAACGAACACAATTATATTTGATCAATTGCAATTTGAATGCACAGAGATACCATGACGAGATCTTGAGGCCCATTGTCATTTCATTCATCTGCCGCCATCACCTCATGTTTCAGCATGATAATGCATGGCCCCATGTCGCAAGGATCTGTACCCAATTCCTGGAAGCTGAAAATGTCCCAGTTCTTCCATGGCCTGCATACTCACCAGACATGTCACTCATTGAGCATGTTTGGGATGTTCTGGATCGACGTGTACGACAGCGTGTTCCAGTGCCCGCCAATATTCAGCAACTTCGCACAGCCATTGAAGAGGAGTGGGACAACATTCCACAGGCCACAATCAACAGCCTGATCAACTCGCAAAAGAGATGTGTTGCGCTGCATGAGGCAAATGGTGGTCACGCCCCTACTTTTTTTTTTTACAGTGTCTGTGACCAACAGATGCATATCTGTATTCCCAGTCATGGGAAATCCATAGATTATGGCCTAATGAATTTATATGAACTAACTCAGTAAAATCTTTGAAATTGTTGCATGTTGCATTTATATTTTTGTTCAGTATACAGTGCCTTGCAAAGTATTCATCCCCCTTGGCATTTTTCCTATTTTGTTGCATTACAACCTGTAATTTAAATAGATTTTTATTTGGATTTCATGTAATGGACATACACAAAATAGTCAAAATTGGTGAAGTGAAATGAAAAAAATTACTTGTTTCAAAAAATTCTAAATAATAAATAATGGGAAAGTGGTGCGTGCATATGTATTCACCCCCTTTGCTATGAAGCCCCTAAATAAGATATGGTGCAACCAATTACCTTCAGAAGTCACATAATTAGTTAAATAAAGTCCACCTGTGTGCAATCTAAATGTCACGTGATCTGTCACATGATCTCAGTATATATACACCTGTTCTGAAAGGCCCCAGAGTCTGCAACAACACTAAGCAAGGGGCACCACCAAGCAAGCGGCACCATGAAGACCAACGAGCTCTCCAAACAGGTCAGGGACAAAGTTGTGGAGAAGTACAGATCAGGGTTGGGTTATAATTTTTTTAAATCAGAAACTTTGAATATCCCACGGAGCACCATTAAATCCATTTTTAAAAAATAGAAAGAATATGGCACCACAAGAAACCTGCCAAGAGAGGGCCGCCCACCAAAACTCACGGACCAGGCAAGGATGGCATTAATCAGAGGCAACAAAGAGACCAAAGCTGCAAAGCTCCACAGCGGAGATTGGAGTATCTGTCCATAGGACCACTTTAAGCCGTACACTCCACAGAGCTGGGCTTTACGGAAGAGTGGCCAGAAAAAAGCCATTGCTTAAAGAAAAAAATAAGCAAACACGTTTGGTGTTCGCCAAAAGGCATGTGGGAGACTCCCCAAACATATGGAAGAAGGTACTCTGGTCAGATTAGACTAAAATTGACCAGTGGTTTAAGGGGAAACATTTAAATGTCTTGGAATGGCCTAGTCAAAGCCCAGACCTCAACCCAATTGAAAATCTGTGGTATGACTTAAAGATTGATGTACACCAGCGGAACCCATCTAACTTGAAGGAGCTGGAGCAGTTTTGCCTTGAAGAATGGGCAGCTGTAATTGCTGCAAAAAGTGGCTCTACAAAGTATTGACTTTGGGGGGGGTGAATAGTTATGCACGCTTAAGTTCAGTTTTTTTGTAATATTTCTTGTTTTTTTCACCCCAAAAAGTATTTTGCATCTTCAAAGTGGTAGGCATGTTGCGTAAATCAAATGATACAAATCCTCCCAAAATCAATTTTAATTCCAGGTTGTAATGCAACAAAATAGGAAAAATGCCAAGGGGGGTGAATATTTTCACAAGCCACTGTAATTGACAGAATAAAAAGAAGGAAGCCTGTACATAATACAAATATTCCAAAACATGCATCCTGTTTGAAATAAGGCACTAAAGTAATACTGCAAAAAAAATTGACAAAGCAATTAAGTTTTTGTCCTGAATACAAAGTGTTATGTTTGGGGCAAATCCAATACAACACATTACTGAGTACCACTCTCCATATTTCAAGCATAGTGGTGGCTGCATCATGTTATGGGTATGCTTGTAATCGTTAAGGACTGGGGAGTTTTTCAGAATAAAAAAGAAATGGAAAGGAGCCAAGCACAGGCAAAAACCTAGAGGAAAATCTAGTTCAATCTGCTTTCCACCAGACACTGGGAGATGAATTCACCTTTCAGCAGGGCAATAACCTAAAACACAAGGCCAACTCTGCACTGGAGTTGCTTACCAAGAAGACAGTGAATGTTCCTGAGTGGCTGAGTTACAGTTTTGACTTAAATCTACTTGAAAATCTATGGCAAGACCTGAACATGATTGTCCAGCCATGATCAACAAACAATTTGACAGAGCTTGAAGAATTTTATAAAGAATAATGGGCAAATATTGTACAATCCAGGTGTGCAAAGCTCTTAGAGACTTACCCAGAAAGACTCACAGCTGTAATCGCTGCCAAAGGTGATTCTAACGTGGATTGACTCAGGGGTGTGAAAACGTATGTAAATTAGATATTTCTGTATATCATTTTCAATAAATTTGCAAACATTTTCTAGAAACATGTTTTCACTTTGTCATTATGGGGTATTGTGTGTAGATGGGTGACAAAAAACAACAACAATTGAATCCATTTTTAATTCAAGCTGTAACAACAAAATGTGGAATAAGTCAAGGGGTATGAATACTTTCTGAAGGCACTGTAAATTAATCACTAATCACAATAAATAAATAATAATCTTCTGAAATGACTTTGTCAAAGCAACAAATAAATATAGGGCTTTACAATGAAGGTGAAAACGTGGAGGAATGTTTGGGTTAAGTGAGTTAAAACCTTCCTAGAAGTCACAGAGGGTGCACGGAGGGACATGTCAAAATGCTGAATTTTGTCACTTTAGCAAGTCTTTCTTCATTCAGATGTATTGAATTATCCATGTGGTCTACATTGAAGGGCATTTCATTAAATATAACAGGCTTTTAAAAATCAATATTGGTGCACAATTTCTACTTAAAATATAAAAGGGACACAAAATGCACTCATTTCGTGGAATGACCTTTCTATTTTCTACACTTTGTGACTGTTCAACGATAATGGTGAATGATGTTCTGTTGAATTCCAGATTATTTGCTGTTGTGGCGTTCCAAGAATGGAAAGAGACATAAAACCAGCAAAGTGTCAAGGTATGAATGTTATTTCAAAGATAAATCTACTTTTACGTATTTTTCAAATGATACACTTCCTTGTGTAGTATATCTTACTATGTTGATCTCCATGCAGGCCCATCACACGATGCTGTGCCTCCAAACCACTTAAACCAGAAGCTGCATCAAGGTGGATGAAAACGTTCACAGTTCTGGCAGTCCTCTGATTTACAAGGAGTGTAAAGGACTACATTCTAAAACGCATCAATGTGGACAACCCCGATGTGTATGATGTCTATTTGAAATGTAACCTTGAATATGAAGTTTTATAAACCAGTTGTGATTAACACCGATTCAAGAAGGGATCACCCATCAAACTCGGACTGCCCCTGAAAAGTCCATGACTCCGTAAGGAATGAGAAGGACTTGGCAAAACACTCCCTTTGAGATTGAGACTGTTATGGTTTATGAGTCCAGCGCAGTGGAACAACCTCATTCTACCAGTCAGGGCATCTATTCTGCTGGATCCATTTCTGATGCATTGATAATTGAGAGAAGCAAGGAGTATAACGGAACTGTTGAGGTCAGTAAAGTTCCTGTTTAATGTACAGCTATCCTATCGATCCCGGAGGAGAAGACAACCATGCAACAGACCACTGCTATGTAATGTGCTAATAAAGAAAATAACATCTTTCTTCAGACCAATACTAAATCATGGTCCAACTATGTCACCTATCAAGCTAGAGAGATAGACATTGGCTTGCCGGAAGGCCTTTTTTCATCTGATTATGACTGCTGCCCAGATATCCAAAGGTTCATTTCTGAGTTTTATTATTCCTACAAAGAGTTTAATTCCTCAATGTTCCCTGAGAATGTGTGCTTTCCTCAGAAAAACGTTAAGGGTAGGCCTATATGCCATAAGAGATCCCCAAAGGGATCCGTAAGTTCATCCAAACGAAAACGGGATGATTCTGACATGGAAATACCTGTCAAAAGATACACATTTTGATTCTGGACAGAGACAACATATTTTGCATTATCAAGCAATGTTCTCTGAATTCATTTCTTTATAAATCCCCTCAAAATTAAATATTTGCTCTTTACTTTTATATTGTGAAAACAGGTGTTGTTTCATTGGTCTTCATTATTAGTCTTGATTTGGGTTAAGGCATTAGGTTGAATGTAGTGCAAGTGAAATTATATAGGGTCAGAATTGTTAGAAAGAGCGAGAGAGAGCACAGAATCTTACCGCCAGTGATTCCAAAGCAGACTGGTTGGAGTAGATTTTCAACCTGTCAATAAAAACAGAATACACTTAATGAATTTGCCTGTGACGCTACAGTGATATTGTGTGTGTATGTGTGGGGGTGTGTTTGTATGTGTATGTATGCCTGCGTGTGTGTGAATACATGCATGCCTACCTCCTCAAGTCTGCTTGAACAGCCAGTCTCTTGCCCTTCATGGACACCTTGGCATTGAATTTGGCCTCCTGCAAGGAACAGAAAGATAAACTTTATCAGTGCACTGGTCTCTACACTTTTCCTTCCTGCTTACCTTGAGGAAATCACTGATCTGACATGGTAAAACTGGTGAGAGCAATGGGTGGAAACCACGTTTTCACCCATCCTCTCACTTACGGATCAGTGATTACCTCAACGAAAGGAAGAAAGCTTTTTTTTGTGAACAGTTGTTTTTATTGGATCACGTCAAAGGCAATACAATCGATAAAAAAACAATACCATTTTCCCACCTTTTTTTCCTTTCTTATTTTTTGATAAATATCAGTAGCTGACAAAGACAAGACGTCTTCTTTCTCACCATGGTCATGCTGCTGAGCTGAACAGGCGCCTTGCCGGGAGGTAGCACCATCACCGTGACGATGGCGGTGATGGCCACGGTGGCCCCGGAGGTCTTGATGGTTGTCTTGGGGGCAGAGTTCAACTCCAGTTGCAGGGAGATGGGGTACTCCACTAGGGCTGGGTTCTGACATACACACACAAATGCATGCACACACATACACACACACACGCACGCGCGCACACACTCACACACACACAGGAGTGAGTGAGTGGAATGCAAAAGTGGAATTCAATGTCTTGACCCTATTTGTGGGGGCATTAGGTCACAATCCCGACATACATACTCACAATCATCATAATGGTGCCAAAATAGGTCGTCCTGAGGAGCATCTCCAGATCCTTTGGCATCTGAAAACATAGTATTAATATAGAAATTACTATATTCATGTCATATTACTACCAGAACAATATTGGTATGCTGTGAAAAATAAAAAATAAGAACTCTGAAATTGCATCTGATTTAAGTATGCAGAGACTCCTTTTTCACTAGTACATATTTTCAGCCTAATGATTGGGCAGATCACCTCATTATGTAAAGAGGTGCAGTACCAAGCATGACTCAGCTGCTTATTAAAATCTGTGTCAACATGTCTGGCAGCACCTCTGATGCAGACAACAATTCTTAAAGGCCTTATCAGACAATATGGAATAATTTACACCTTGGAGCTAAGAATTACTTGCGTCATGTCATGTGTAGGCTAAAATGCAGGGGAGAGAGTACGGTTGCAAGACAAAATGGGGGACTCAGGCCTCATACTTACATGCTCGTTGGCGATATTAATTTGTAATATGCCAGCTTTATAATAGGAGTACAACCCACTGTCAAAGAAGTACTCGGACAGAGCCAGGTACACCATGCGGTCGTACTCTCTCACAATTGGGTTGATGGCATAGTTGACCAAGGTGTTGCTCTCGTTCCCGAGCTCAAAGAACATGCCCTGTTTGGCACAGTGAGAGAGAGAGGAAGATGAAATACTGTAGAGATGAGAGTGAGATACAAAAATAGGTAACACTTTATTTTAGGGGTCCCTAAGGGCTTCATATTACAATTATAATCTATAAGCATTTTGTTTATGTCAACAATTGCATGTTGATAATAGGCAGTATCAGTGATATTACTGTGACTTATGAATGCATAATATATGGTTCTGGATGTGTTATGAAGTGCTTATGTATGTACCCTTCAAATAATGTGTTACCCAAACATACATCCATAATATACACACGGTATGAGCACGATGCATGAGACTAATGCACAGCTAGCTAGACTATCTCACTCACCCTGAAATCCATGTCAAGACTCCTTGAAGTCACCACTGGGTCACTTAGGAGAGAGTAGTCGATCCCCACATACTTGTCCACTTCTGTTCGCACTGGATGGGTCCAAATTAAAACAAACACAAAATTATCTTTCTGTGTGCAAAACGGTCAAAAAAGTAACTTTTTTAAACGTTAGTTATGTTATAACCAATCTCTCAAGGCATTTTCCAATGAACCACTGTACTATCTTACCTGGAATTGTCTCCAACAAAGAGTTGATTAGAACCAAACCAGCGTGGTTCATGACAGGGCAGATCTATGAAAAGAACAGACACATGTTAAAGTAACTGTCCAGTGCCCCAGATTTCAATGAAATATAGCCTATAAGAATTACAATATGAGCGAAATAGATTTTCTTCCAAAAATTATAATCCAGTATGTTAAAAAGTAGCTTTTATGTGTACCCCTACTTGCCCTGTTCATTCTGAAAAGAACGATGTGGGCTTAACACGGTCATCATAAATATTCATGACGAGTGAACAGCTGATTTGCCAGCTCAGCCAATGAATATTTAATCATACGTGTTCATATGTTGTAAGTGTAACCAGTGTTCTAGAATGAAATCAACTGATCTGTCAGCACCTGTTGGTTCAGAAGGAAGCGCATTCCTGTGGTCAAGAATGTCGCCAGGAAGTCATACACCCTCCTGAAACGGAGCAAACCAGAGTTGTAAATCATTGAATTACACCCACTCATGTTCAAAAATTCAAAAGCTGAAAAATGCTCCAATATTGCCAATAGCCACATTATACTGCAATTAGTCTCCATTGCACACAAGATTAACATTAAAAAACCTATTTGTCAAGGGAGACCTGACTCAGGATCAGTTTTGCCTTTTAAATAATAATGATTACAATTATTATAGACAGGGAGGACCTGATCTTAGATCAGCACTCCTACTCTGAGACACTTGATACGTGGTCACTGGTCAAGAAAGCAGCTTAAGTGTTTTAAAAAGACTATCAACAGGATTTATTTACCCCAAGGTGCCAGTGAACTTCATTTTCATTTTGGCAATGGAGGCATCGCAGGTGATGTTGGAGATCTTGAGGCGCCCCAACTCATCTCTGGTCATGTGCAGGACAGTGAGGATGTTCACGCCTTCTGCAGAGGCGTTGATGGTTCCGGAGTCATAGCTATGAGACCACAGAAAATAAATATTTTCAGATCACCATCATACATACGTCATAATCATAATCTCAACCACATAAAATAGCATCAAAAGGTTTGAACTTCCAAGTGTCACGATTGTCTGTGAGATGCGGTAAACGAAGTCAGGCGCAGGACACAGAACTCTCGGATACGTACTTATAATACGAAAAGGATCCAAAAGGACACAGAAAATAACTCCACGCAGGGAGGAAATAACCCGCTCACAAAATAGACAACCGTGAAGGGGAAAACAATCACACACAAAGTACAGATGAGAGACTGTCACGGTTTCGGCCGAGGCTGCTCCTCCTCCTTGTTCGGGCAGGCTTCGGCGGTCGTCGTCTCCGGAGTACTAGCTGCCACCGTTCTTTGTTTCGTTGTTTGATTGGTTTGGTCTGTCTAGTACACCTGTTCATGTTTAGTGTTGATTATGTGTCCTATAAGTTCTCGTTGTTTCTGTCATGTGTTGTGTGTAATTGTTTTCCTGTCTGTTGGTGTTCAACTGTTTTGGACAGACGCTAGTTTACCGTCGCACTGTTGTTCGTGCGTAGTCGGGTTTTTGTATTTTACGCACTGTTGCGTATTGTTCGCCTCCGGGTTAGTTTACCCGTGTATTTTTGTGCTTTGCCAGTAAAGTCAAGTTTGACTGAGCTCCTGTGTCCTGCACTTGATTCCACCACACATTCGCATCAGAACCCCTGACAGAATTACACACCATCTATGGAATCAGCAGGAGCGACAGCAGCGCCTGAGTCGTTGGAGGAGCGCGTCCGCAGCCAGGATGATCAGATCCAGCGAATGGGGACCGCTCTGCAGGACGTCATTAACACCTTGCACCGATGGGAGTCCAGAGGGTTACCCACACCTCCACCTACCTCACCACCACCATCGGTCAGTCCGACCGTCCATGTTCCGGAACCCAGTGGGATTCGGCTCTTGCTCCCGAGGGCGTATGACGGCACAGCTTCCGGGTGTCAGGGGTTCCTCCTGCAGGTGGAGCTCTACCTGGCCACTGTACACCCGGTGCCCTCGGGACACGAGAGCGTTTCCGCCCTCATCTCCTGTCTCACCGGCAAGGCGTTGGAATGGGCCAATGCCGAATGGAGGAGGATAGACGCCACCACCATCTCCTATGCGGAGTTCTCCCGTCGCTTCAGGGCCGTGTTCGACCATCCCCCTGAGGGGAAAGCGGCGGGGGAGCGTCTATTCTACCTCCGACAGGGGAGGAGGAGCGCCCAGGAGTTCGCACTGGAGTTCCGGACTCTAGCGGCAGATGCAGGGTGGAATGAACGGGCCCTCATCGATCACTTTCGTTGTAGTTTACGGGAGGACGTCCAACGTGAGTTGGCTTGCAGGGACACCACCCTTACGTTCGACCAGCTGGTCGACATGTCCATACGTCTGGACACCCTGCTGGCCACCCGTGGACGTTCCGAGTGGGGTCCGTCCATTCCATCCTCCAGCACCTCCGAGCCGAGCCCTATGGAGCTCGGAGGTGCTGGCGCTAGAGAGAGGAGGAGAAGGAGCCCGAGGGAGGCTGTCCCCTGCACCACTTGTGGCCGTGGAGGGCACACTGCGGCCAGGTGCTGGGGAGGGTCTCCATTGGGAGGGGACAACAGGCCACGCACTGGGGAGCCATTCCAGGTGAGTAGACGCCCCACTCACCCAGAGCTTTCTGTTGTACATTTTTGTATACCTGTAAGTTTTCCACAGGTTGCACCTCATTCCCAGCATAAGGCGCTAGTAGATTCAGGCGCAGCTGGGAATTTTGTTGATCGGAAATTTTGTTTAGAGTTAGGGATTCCCCTCATTCCGGTTGACACTCCATTTCCCGTTCATGCATTAGACAGCCGCCCGTTGGGTTCGGGGTTGATTAGGGAGGTCACAGCACCACTTAAGATGTGTACGCAGGGGGGTCATGAGGAGAATATTCAGCTATATCTGATCGACTCTCCTGCGTACCCGGTGGTGCTGGGAATTCCCTGGTTAAGTACCCATAACCCTTCCATTTCGTGGCAACAGAGGGCTCTCAAGGAGTGGTCTGCTCAGTGTGAGGGGCGATGTCTGGGTGTTTCCGTGGGGGCGACCTCGGTGGAAAGTCCAAACCAAGTGCCCGCAATGCACATTCCCCCTGAATATGGGGATTTGGCACTTGTGTTCAGTAAATCGAGGGCGACGCAGTTGCCTCCCCACAGACAGGGGGATTGTGCGATAGACCTCCAGGCAGGAGCGGCGCTCCCGCGGAGCCACGTGTATCCGTTGTCTCAAGAGGAGAAAAGGGCTATGGAGACTTACATAGCCGAATCTTTGAGACAAGGATACATACGGCCCTCCACTTCCCCTGCGTCCTCGAGCTTCTTTTTTGTGAAGAAAAAGGATGGAGGGTTGCGCCCGTGCATTGATTACCGTGGTCTCAATCAGATTACTGTGAAGTACAGTTATCCTCTCCCTCTGATTGCGACTATGACAGAGTCATTGCACGGAGCGCGTTTCTTCACAAAACTGGATCTCAGGAGCGCGTACAACTTGGTGCGCATTAGGGAGGGCGATGAATGGAAAAGTACCACCTCGGGTCATTACGAGTATCTCGTCATGCCATACGGGTTGATGAACGCTCCTTCGGTTTTCCAATCATTCGTGGATGAGATCTTCCGGGACATGCAGGGGCAAGGTGTGGTCGTGTACATTGATGACATTCTGGTGTACTCTCCTACCCGAGCCGAGCATGTAGCCCTGGTGCTTTTGAGTGTTGAGGAGGCTGTTGGAGCACGACCTGTATGTCAAGGCAGAGAAATGTCTGTTTTTCCAGGAGTCGGTCTCCTTTTTGAGTTATCGGTTGTCCGCATCAGGGGTGAAGATGGAGGTGGACCGTGTGTCAGCCGTGCGTAATTGGCAAACCCCAACCACTGTTAAAGAGGTGCAGCAGTTCTTAGGCTTTGCGAATTACTACCGGAGGTTTATCCGGGGTTTTGGACAGGTAGCAGCTCCCATCACGTCCCTTCTGAAAGGGGGTCCGGTGCGCTTGCAGTGGTCAGCTGAGGCGGACAGGGCTTTTGAGAAACTGAAGGGTCTGTTCACTTCGGCTCCGGTGCTGGTGCATCCGGATCCCGCCTTACCATTTCAGGTAGAGGTGGACGCGTCTGAGGCCGGTATAGGGGCTGTTCTATCTCAACGGTCCGGCACGCCACCTAAACTCCGCCCCTGTGCTTTTTACTCTAAAAAGCTCAGCCCGGCGGAGCGAAATTATGACGTAGGGGACAGGGAGCTGTTAGCCGTGGTACAGGCCCTAAAGGTGTGGAGGCATTGGCTTGAGGGGGCTCAACACCCTTTCCTCATTTTGACTGACCATCGGAACCTGGAGTACATCCGGGCAGCTAGGAGACTGAACCCTCGCCAGGCTCGGTGGAACATGTTTCTAGCCAGGTTCGTATTTAAAATCACGTACATCCCTGGGTCCCAGAACGGTAAGGCAGACGCCCTGTCCCGGCGGTATGATACAGAGGAGAGGTCCGTTGAGCCCACTTCCATACTACCGGAGTCTTGTCTAGTGGCACCGGTTGTGTGGGAGGTCGATTCTGAAATCGAGCGGGCGTTGCGTACTGACCCTAGCCCTCCACAGTGTCCTGTGGGTCGGACGTACGTTCCGCTCGAGGTTCGGGATCGACTCATTTATTGGGCTCACAAGTCACCCTCCTCTGGACATCCTGGTATTGGCCGGACAGTGCACTGTCTTAGTGCTAAGTACTGGTGGCCCACGTTAGCCAGGGATGTGAGGGTTTATGTCTCCTCCTGCTCGGTGTGCGCCCAGTGTAAGGCGCCTAGACATCTGCCTAGGGGTAAGTTACAACCCCTGCCAGTTCCACAACAACCATGGTCTCACCTCTCGGTGGACTTTATCACCGACCTTCCCCCCTCGCAGGGGAATACTGGTCGTTGTGGATCGGTTCTCTAAGGCCTGTCGTTTGCTCCCTATGCCGGGCCTTCCTACTGCCCTACAGACCGCCGAAGCGCTATTCACCCACGTTTTCCGGCACTACGGGGTACCCGAGGATATTGTGTCTGATCGAGGTCCCCAGTTCACCTCCAGAGTCTGGAGAGCATTTATGGAGCGTTTGGGGGTCTCGGTGAGCCTTACCTCGGGTTACCATCCTGAGAGTAATGGGCAGGTGGAACGCGTGAACCAGGATGTGGGTAGGTTTCTTAGATCATACTGCCAGGACCGGCCGGAGGAGTGGGCACGGTATGTTCCTTGGGCAGAAATGGCCCAGAATTCCCTACGCCACTCCTCAACTAACCTAACCCCTTTCCAATGTGTGTTAGGTTACCAGCCGGTTCTGGCACCTTGGCAGCAGAGCCAGATCGAGGCTCCTGCGGTGGATGAGTGGGTGCGGCGTCGGAGGAGACGTTGGAACGCTGCACCGTCCATCTGCAGCGGGCCATCCGTCGTCAAAAGGCGAGCGCCGATCTCCACCGCAGTGAGGGGCCGGTGTACGCACCTGAGATCGAGTCTGGATCTCTACCAGAAAACTGGCCACTCCGCCTGCCCTGCCGGATTAGCTGGGGTCGGCGGTATGTGGGGCCGTTTCAAGTCCTGAGGAAGATTGAACTAGGGGTTACAGATTACAAATGCCTATTGAGTATTAAGAATATTAACACCTCGTTCCATAGTGTATATTCTCAAGGACGGTGGGCGCTGGTCACAACTAAAGGAAGATGAGATGAAGATGAGATCAGGGGAGAATCATCTTGGATTGACTCGGATGGGGGTCTCCTTGTGGGTGGGGGGGTGCCCGAGCATGGTGCCGAGAGACATCTTGACTCTCTGCTGACTGAGTTCCATCGTGGTCATCCCACGCGCCCTGCTCCGCGTCCTCCTGGTCGTCCTCGAGGCCGGGGTCGGCGCACGGCTGGAGCCGCGCGTCAAGGGGGGGGGTACTGTCACGGTTTCGGCCGAGGCTGCTCCTCCTCCTTGTTCGGGCAGGCTTCGGCGGTCGTCGTCTCCGGAGTACTAGCTGCCACCGTTCTTTGTTTCGTTGTTTGATTGGTTTGGTCTGTCTAGTACACCTGTTCATGTTTAGTGTTGATTATGTGTCCTATAAGTTCTCGTTGTTTCTGTCATGTGTTGTGTGTAATTGTTTTCCTGTCTGTTGGTGTTCGACTGTTTTGGACAGACGCTAGTTTACCGTCGCACTGTTGTTCGTGCGTAGTCGGGTTTTGTATTTTACGCACTGTTGCGTATTGTTCGCCTCCGGGTTAGTTTACCCGTGTATTTTTGTGCTTTGCCAGTAAAGTCAAGTTTGACTGAGCTCCTGTGTCCTGCACTTGATTCCACCACACATTCGCATCAGAACCCCTGACAGAGACAGGGGTAATTATAAGGGAAACAATTAACATAATGACGAACAGGTGTAAACAATACAGACAAAACTAAACAAACACCGATAACATCGAACGGCAGTAGCTAGTACTCCGGGGACGACGAACGCCGAAGCCTGCCCGAGCAAGGAGGAGGAGCAGCCTTGGCAGAATCCGTGACAGTACCCCCCCCCCCCCCCCCTTGACGCCGGCGCCAGCCGTGCGCCGACCCCGGCCTCGGGACGGCCAGGAGGACGCGGAGCAGGGCGAGTTGGGTGACTCCGGTGGAACTCTGTCAACAGGAGGGATCTAGGATGTCCCTCCTAGGGACCCAGCACCGTTCCTCCGGACCGTACCCCTCCCACTCCACGAGATACTGCAGACCCCCCATCCGACGCCTCGAATCCACGATGGAACGGACTGAGTACGCCGGAGCCCCTTCGATGTCTAGTGGGGGCGGAGGGGCCTCTCGTACCTCATTCTCCTGGAGTGGACCAGCTACCACCGGCCTGAGAGACACATGGAACGAGGGGTTAATGTGATAATTAACAGGCAGCTGTAACCTATAACATACCTCGTTCAATCTCCTCAGGACTTTAAATGGCCCCACAAACCGCCGGCCCAGCTTCCGGCAGGGCAGGTGAAGGGGCATGTTTCTGGTCGAGAGCCAGACCCGATCTCCCGGTGCATAAACCGGACCCTCACTGCGGTGGCGATCGGCGCTCGCCTTTTGCCGTCTGATGGCCCGCTGCAGATGGACGTGCGCAGCGTTCCATGTCTCCTCCGAGCGCCGAAACCATTCATCCACTGCAGGAGCCTCGATCTGGCTCTGATGCCAGGGTGCCAAAACCGGCTGATAGCCCAACACACACTGGAAAGGAGTGAGATTAGTGGAGGAGTGGCGGAGTGAGTTTTGGGCTATCTCTGCCCAGGGAATATACCCCGACCACTCCTCCTGCCGGTCCTGGCAGTAGGACCTCAGAAACCTACCCACATCTTGGTTTACTCTCACCACCTGCCCATTACTCTCAGGGTGAAAACCCGAGGTAAGGCTGATCGAGACCCCCAAACGTTCCATGAACGCCCTCCACACTCTAGAGGTGAACTGGGGACCCCGATCAGACACTATATCTTCAGGCTTCGGCCGTTTGTAGGGCTGTAGGAAGACCTGGCATAGGGATGAGACGGCAGGCCTTAGAAAACCAATCCACAACGACCAAGATCGTGGTATTCCCCTGGGAGGGGGGAAGGTCCGTGACAAAATCCACCGACAGGTGAGACCATGGCCGTTGTGGAACGGGGAGAGGTTGTAACTTCCCCCTGGGCAGGTGTCTATGCGCCTTACACTGGGCGCACACCGAGCAGGAAGAAACGTAAACTCTCACGTCCTTAGCTAAGGTGGGCCACCAGTACTTCCCGCAAAGACAGTGCACCGTCCGACCAATACCAGGATGACCAGAGGAGGGTGACGTGTGAGCCCAATAAATCAGTCGGTCACGGACCTCGAGCGGCACGTACCTCCGTCCCTCTGGACACTCTGGGGGAGAAGGGTCTGTACGTAATGCCCGCTCGATTTCCGTGTCGACCTCCCACACCACCGGTGCCACGAGACAAGACTCCGGTAGTATGGGAGTGGGCTCAATGGACCCTCTCCTCTGTGTCATATCGTTGGGACAGGGCGTCTGCCTTAACGTTCTGTGACCCGGGGATATACGTGATCTTAAAGACAAACCGGGCCAGAAACATGGCCCACCTAGCCTGACGAGGGTTCAGTCTCTTCGTTGCCCGGATGTACTCCAGGTTACGATGGTCAGTCAGAATGAGAAAAGGGTGGTTAGCCCCCTCAAGCCAATGTCTCCACACCTTCAGGGCCTGGACCACAGCTAGCAGCTCCCTGTCCCCCACGTCATAATTGCGCTCCGCCGGACTGAGCTTCTTAGAATAGAAAGCACAGGGGCGGAGTTTTGGAGGCGTGCCCGAGCGCTGAGACAGTATAGCACCGATCCCCGCCTCGGACGCATCCACCTCGACTTGGAACGCCAAAGAGGGATCCGGATGTGCCAGCACCGGAGCTGAAGTGAACAGGTCCTTCAAATGACTAAACGCCCTGTCCGCCTCAGCCGACCACTGCAAACGCACCGGGCCCCCCTTTAGCAGGGAGGTAATGGGAGCCGCTACCTGTCCAAAACCCCGGATAAACCTCCGGTAGTAATTGGCAAAACCCAAAAAACCGCTGCACCTCCTTTACTGTAGTTGGAGTCTGCCAATTACGCACGGCTGAAACGCGGTCAATCTCCATCTCCACCCCTGACGCAGACAACCGGTGTCCCAGGAAGGAGATGGACTCCTGGAAAAACAGACATTTCTCTGCCTTCACATACAGATCATGCTCCAACAGTCTACCCAGCACCCGACGTACCAGGGACACATGCTCGGTACGTGTAGCGGAGTATATCAGAATGTCATCAATATACACCACTACCCCCTGTCCATGCAAATCCCGGAAAATCTCGTCTACAAATGATTGGAAGACTGAAGGAGCATTCATTAGACCGTATGGCATGACGAGGTACTCATAGTGACCCGAGGTGGTACTGAAGGCTGTTTTCCACTCATCTCCCTCCCGAATGCGCACCAGGTTGTAAGCGCACCTGAGATCCAATTTTGTGAAGAAGTGCGCCCCGTGTAATGACTCCGTCATACTAGCAATCAGAGGGAGAGGATAGCTGTATTTAATAGTGATCTGATTGAGACCACGGTAATCAATACACAGGCGTAAACCCCCATCATTCTTCTTCACAAAAAAGAAACTTGAGGACGCAGGAGAAGTGGAAGGCCGTATGTATCCCTGTCTCAAGGATTCGGCGACGTATGTCTCCATAGCAGCCGTCTCCTCCTGAGACAGAGGATACACATGGCTGCGAGGGAGCGCCGCGCCAACCTGGAGGTCCATCGCACAATTCCCCTGTCGATGAGGTGGTAATTGAGTCGCCTTCTTCTTACAGAAGGCGCTTGCCAAATCGGCATACTCAGGAGGAATGTGCATTGTGGGCATTTGGTTCGGACTCTCCACCGTCGTTGCCCCTACGGAAACACCTACACACCGCCCCACACACTGATCAGACCATCCCTTGAGAGCCCTCTGTTGCCATGAAATGTTGGGGTCCATGAGATATTAACCAGGGAAGTCCCAACACCACTGGAAACGCAGGAGAGTCAATTAAATACAACTGTATAGTCTCCTCATGACCCTTCCGCGTTTTCATCTTCAGTGCCGCTGTGACCTCCCTAATCAATCCCGACCCCAAAGGCCGGCTATCTAGGGCATGGATAGGGAAGGGCACATCGACTGGTAATATAGGGATCCCTAACTTATATGAGAAATGGCGATCGATAAAATTCCCAGCTGCGCCTGAATCGACTAGCGCCTTATGCTGGGAGTAAGAAGAAACTTCTGGAAACATCACTTGGATACACATATGAACAGCAGAGAGCTCTGGGTGAGTTGGGACCTTACTCACCAGGAATGACTCATCAGTGCGCTGCCTGCTGCCTCGAATCCGAGGAGACACTCCCCAGCACCGAACCGCCGTGTGTCCTCGGCGGCCACAGTTGGTGCAGGGGACAGCCTCCTTCCTGGCCTCCCTACTACCAGCACCCCCGAGCTCCATAGGGCTCGGCTCGGAGGTGCTGGGGGATGGAATGGACGGCCCCAGCGCTGGACATCCGCGGGTAGCCAACAGGGTATTCAAGCGAATCGACATGTCCACCAGCTGATCGAAGCTTAGGTTGGTATCCCTACAGGCCAGCTCTCGACGAACGTCCTCCCTCAAGCTGCATCTGTAGTGGTCGATGAGGGCCCTCTCATTCCATCCCGAATTGGCAGCCAGAGTCCGGAAGTCCAGTGCGAATTCCTGCGCGCTCCTCCTCCCCTGTCTGAGGTGGAATAGACGCTCACCCGCCACCTTCCCCTCCGGGGGATGATCGAACACTGCCCTGAAGCGGGTGAACTCCGCATAGTTCACAGTAGCGGCGTCTATCCCTCCCCACTCGGCGTTGGCCCACTCCAGTGCCTTGCCGGACAGACAGGAGATGAGGGCGGACACGCTCTCGTATCCCGAGGGTGCCGGGTGAATGGTTGCCAGGTAAAGTTCCACCTGGAGCAGGAAACCCTGACACCCGGCTGCGGTGCCATCATAAGCCCTCGGGAGCGAGAGCCGAATCCCACTGGACTCCGGATGTGAGACGATAGGAGTAGCCGATGGTGGTGGTATCGTTGGAGGAGGTGTGGGCAAACCTCCTCTCTCCCATCGTCCCAAAGTGTTCATAACATTATCCATAGCGGCACCAAGATTTTGGAGCATCGCTGCCTGTTGTAGGACGCGCTCCTCGAGTGATCCAGTCGGTGCCGTCGCTCCTGCTGACTCCATGGTAAGGTGTGTGATTCAGTCACGACTGTCTGTGAGATGCGGTAAACGAAGTCAGGCGCAGGACACAGAACTCTCGGATACGTACTTATAATACGAAATAGATCCAAAAGGACACAGAAAATAACTCAACGCAGGGAAGAAATAACCCGCTCACAAAATAGACAACCGTGAAGGGGAAAACAATCACACACAAAGTACAGATGAGAGACAGGGGTAATTATAAGGGAAACAATTAACATAATGACGAACAGGTGTAAACAATACAGACAAAACTAAACAAACACCGATAACATCGAACGGCAGTAGCTAGTACTCCGGGGACGACGAACGCCGAAGCCTGCCCGAGCAAGGAGGAGGAGCAGCCTCGGCAGAATCCGTGACACCAAGACACTCTCCTTGGACATCCTCTTTGAAGTTTGATGTCAAAGAAGATGGAAGATGACTCATCAATCTAGCGTACCTCTGCATGACTGAACTCCTCAAGGCTCTACAGATACCATTGTCAGTATTTAACCACAGGCATTATTTTGCAGTCTTTTCTTGATACATTTTTTTTTTCATCTTTATTTAACCAGATAAGTTAATTGAGAACCAATTCTCATTTACAATAACGACATGGCCAAGAGGCATAACATTGCAACAGTGAACAGGACAACACACAATACCACTAAAAATAAAACACACTATACAGAAATATTCACAATTTGTTAGAGCAGAAAAGTCCAAGGCAACACAGCAGACTTAATTATCAGCAGGTACTTTGATCAGATAGCAGCTCAGTTCATGTTTTTGAAGGAGTATGATGGGACGAATGTGTCAAGTTTGAGGAGCTTTTGCAGCTTGTTCCAGTCGTTGGAGGCGGAAAACTGAAATAAATGACGGCCAAAGGAAGTGCGTGCTTTGGGAATGACCAGTGTGATACAATGCCTTCGGAAATAATTCATACCCCTTGACTTATTCCACATTTTAGTTGTGTTACAGCCTGAATTCAAAATTGATTAAATTGCAGTTTTTTCTCTCACCCATCTACACACAATACCCCATAGAAAGTGAAAACATGTTTTTATAAATGTTTATAAATGTATTGAAAATTAAATATAGAAATATCTCATTTGCATAAGTATTCACACCCCTGAGTCAATACTTTGTTGAAGCACCTATGGCAGCGATTACAGCTGTGAGTCTTTCTGGGCAAGTCTCTAAGAGCTTTCCACACCTGGATTGTGCAACATTTGCCCATTATTCTTTTCAAAATTCTTCAAGCTCTGTCAAATAGGATGTTGATCATTGCTAGACAACCCATTTCAGTTCTTGCCATAGATTTTCAAGTAGATTTAAGTCAAAACTGTAACTCAGCCACTCAGCCATTCACTGTCTTCTTGGTAAGCAACTCCAGTGTAGATTTGGCCTTGTGTTTTAGGTTATTGTCCTGCTGAAAGGTGAATTCATCACCCAGTGTCTAGTGGAAAGCAGACTGATCTAGGTTTTCCTCTAGGGTTTTGCCTGTGCTTAGCTCCATTCTGTTTCTTTTTTATCCTGAAAAAAGTCCTTAACGATCCTTAACGACTACAAGCATACCCATAACATGATGCAGCCACCACTATGCTTGAAAATATGGAGAGTGGTACACAGTGATGTGTTGTATGGGATTTTCCCCAAACATAACACTTTGTAGGCCGTCATTGTAAATAAGAATATGTGAATTGCTTTGCCTCATTTTTTGCAGTATTACTTAAGTGCCTTGTTGCAAACAGGATGCATGTTTTGGAATATTTGTATTCTGTACAGGCTTCCTTCTTTTCACTCTGCCAATTAGGTTAGTATTGTGGAGTAACTACAATGTTGTTGATCCATCCTCAGTTTTCTCGTATCACAGCCATTTAACTCTGTAACTGTTTTAAAGTCACCATTGGCCTCATGGTGAAATACCAAAGTGGTTTTCATCCTCTCCGGCAACTGGGTTAGGCACGATGCCTGTATCTTTGTAGTGACTGGGTGTATTGATACACCATCCAAAGTGTAATTAATAACTTCACCATGCTCAAAGGGTTTTTCAATGTTTGCTTTTTTTTTTACCCATCTACCAATAGGTGCCCTTCTTTGTGAGGCATTGAAAAACCTCTCTGGTCTTTGTGGTTGAATCTGTGTTTGAAATTAACTGCTCGACTGAGGGACCTTACAGATGATTGTATGTGATGGGTACAGAGATGAGGTAGTCATTAAAATATCATGTTAAACACTATTATTGCACACAGAGTGAGTCCATGCAACTTATTATGTGACTTGTTAAGCAAATGTTTACCCCTGAACTTATTTAGGTTTGCCATAACAAAGGGGTTCAATATTTATTGACTCAAGACATTTCAGCTTTTCATTTTTGATCTGATTTGTATACATTTCTAAATAATTCCACTTTGACATTATGGGGTATTGTGTGTAGGCCACTGACAAGAAATCTAAATTTAATCAATTTTAAATTCAGGCGGTAACACAACAAAATGTGGAAAAGGTCAAGGGGTGTGAATACTTTCTAAAGGCACTGTATATCTAATAGCAGGTTGCTATTGGTATTGGAGATGTTGAGGAGTGAGCTGAGGTAGAGGGGGGACTTAAATGCACTAGGCTAGAAAGAGAGACAGTAGTGGATAGCGAGAAGGACTCACAAGAACCAATATAAGATGTGTCTCTGGAAGCTGAGAGCGATGGAAGAGTTCTGCACCGCGAAGAGCAGTCCTAGGCCAGGCTGGAAGGCCAGGTCAGCGTATGTCAGGTTCAGCTCATTTATCTTCACCCTGACCCACAGGAAGGAAGAGACTCGGATCAGTGCTTGGGCTGATACTTGAAAGTCACTAGATATGTGTCTTGAAATGTACTAGTGAATCCTGTAGCCTGGTTGCCAATTGGTTGAAGTTGGCCAATACAGAAACAGTGAGTGGGTAGAAATACTTTCTACATTGGGTTGATTTTCCAAGAACCCATATTTCTAGAAGATAAAGCAGTTCTAGCCTCTTCAACCAGACAGATCGCCATGCGCATGGCATATTATATTATTATGATCCTTTTTCATTTCATGTAGTGAGCTAAGCCATCTGTCTGGTTTACGAGGCTAGAGCGTCTTTATCTCTTAAAAGATCATGTCCAGTTGCTAAACTTTATAGGTCGTCTTTTAGAAATCCAGATTCTTGGAACATCAACCAATGCAGACTCTGCTCACAGTTCCATGATAGGCACTCATATAAAAGGGATCTGGAGCAATTGGATGGCAGCAACTTCTGAGCAATAACGTGGATGGATCCCAGGGCTTACTCTTTGATGGTGTACTGGAAGTGGCCCTCTTTGCCCTTCATCTCTGGCATGGTGATGTTGCTCAGTTCCTCAACCACAAACTTCTGGGTCTCATACTTCACTGAAAGACAGGTTTGAAGGAGTTTGAGTTTAGAGTCTAGAGCTACCTAGTGAATACCTTAAGCAGACAACCCAGACAACTGAGAGGGGCTAAATGGATGACGGTGCTTTGGTAGAGCAAAATGCTGATAGTGGCAATGCAGCGGAAATGACGTCTTCCTTTGGTCAAGACTGACCATTGAAGACTGTCTGGGACCATTGTAGACTGTTGAAAACTATTAAGAACACATTAACAAGAGTGTTTTTGGGGTGAATTTCTTACACATTTCGAGCCCCCTGTTGGTGATCCGGATCTTGCAGCCTGGTGGTTCTTCTGCTGACATGGCGGCGATTAGAGGGAACAGGAAGAGGATAGACACCGTGCAGGAAGCCATCACGACTGCCTGAAGGGGGGTCAAAACAGAGAAAAGGACAGTGGATAACGACCCAGCCACCTCAAAGCTCAAACACTAACAAGTCCGACTTGATTTACGATTTTCAGGACCTAAAGAGCCCAAACAGAGTAAGTATTGCCTTACTTGTAGAACTACTCAATACTAGACCTCCCACCGGTCACTCTCGGTCGTAAAATGAGCAGTTTATCATTGGTGACTAGCTTTCTGGGGTTGCTTTACTCTTCCTCGAAACTAGGGTGATAACATGATTCATCCAATTCTTATGAACCTTATTGACGCTTTATTCCATGAGATTGAATTACACAATATGACCCAAAAGTCAGGTCATCAAGGTTTATATCATAAAATAAATGGGTATTAATTTCAAACACAATGTCATATTAAAGTCAAAGGTTATGAATGCCTTTTGGAGAAACTTTGTGCACTGCCTATCTCAATGTTCCTCTATTACCATTTTCCAGGGACAGTTAACAGAATCAAAAACTGAATGTAGAGACATGATTATTAACCGCTTACAAACATGTATATTGTCCCACTTTCATTATCACAAAGATAGGCAATTTAGATATACTATGGCAGTGTCGAAATTATCAAGTGATAAAGTCACAATAACAAATGTTATTGTAGGCTAATCTGTGCATTCATATTATCAACCTTGCTTACAGATGTTTTGAAAAGAGTCCCTAGATATCATGCGCAACAGCAACGTCAATGGAGTTATTCCTTCTTGTCCTGTACACCACTCTCATGCCCCCCACCTCCATCACAAGTTAGAATTCAAAGACTTCTCTTCCCTGAAAAAATCCTGCACCAAAATCTCTTACCTCAACGATGGAGGGTCTGTGGAAGGCCAAACAAAAGAGAAAAACAAAGAAAATCCCTAAATGTTTGTATTCTTTAAGCTATCTCCACAGTGTGAAATTCAAATGCTGCAGTTTCTCTGCCCTGCTGTAGCATGTACGGTTGCTGAGTAAGTGAGTCAGAGAGAGAGAGAGAGAGAGAGAGAGAGAGAGAGAGAGAGAGAGAGAGAGAGAGAGAGAGAGAGAGAGAGAGAGAGAGAGAGAGAGAGAGACAGAGAGAGAGAGAGAGAGAGACAGAGAGAGCATGTGTGTGTGTATGTGTGTAAAGCTGCACAGCTCTTTGTCTCATTCAACAGCAGGGGCAGCAGCTCTAGCTCCCCACGGTGAGGAACTAAAAGGCTTGAAGGAAAGCAGGATGTTCCTTGACCCATAAGGTTTTAGGAGGGACTGCTGAACAACCCCCCCCCCCCCCCCCCCCCCCCCCCCACCGCCAACCCCGTTTCATTTAGACTCTCTATGGTCTAAACTCATAGAAATCCCCCCCCCCCCCAGGGAATGAAACAAACTCGACAGTAACTCACTAACATGATTCTACACTGTTCTCACATTATCTGCCATATCTGGTCTTTGACAAAAGTCCTTCAAAACAGCATGTGTGTGTTGAATGCAGGAACCGGTTAACTCAAAAATTGGAGCGAGCAAAAACAAAGCAAGCAAGAACAAAGAGTTCTTCAAGGGGACTCAAGGAGGTCATTGATCCCGAAGGGGACCACTTCACTTCATCTCCCCAAAGACATTTCCCATTGACAATTTGTACAATTTCCTCACCCCTTTCTCATAATATGTACAGGGGTGAAAGATTGAGGGTTCCCAGAAGGAACTGCTTCTGGGGGGAAATTGTAAACAGTGTCTTCTGCATAACAACAGTGACCACCACACAAGGATATATGCATGTGCAGCTGCATGTGTCTCACCTCAGACATATACAGTGCCTTCGGAAAGTATTCAGATCCCTTGACCTTTTCCACATTTTGTTACGTTACAGCCTTATTCTAAAATTGATTAAATAGTTTTTTTCCCTCATCAATCTACACACAATACCCCATAATGACAAAGCAAAAACGGAAATATCACATTTACTTAAGTATTCAGACCCTTTACTCAGTACTATGTTAAAGCAGCGATTACAGCATCGAGTCTTCTTGGGTATGACACTACAAGTTTGGCACACCTGTATTTGGGGAGTTTCTCCCATTCTTCCCTGCAGATCCTCTCAAGCTCTGCCAGGTTGAATGGGGAGCGTTGCTGCACAGATATTTTCAGGTCTCTCCAGAGATGTTCATTCGGGTTCTAACTGGGCCACTCAAGGACATTCAGAGACTTGTCCCGAAGCCACTCCTGTGTTGTCTTGGCTGTGTGCTTAGTGTCGTTGTCCTGTTGGAAGGTGAACCTTCGCCCCAGTCTGAGGTCCTGAGCGCTCTGGAGCAGGTTCTGATCAAGGATCTCTCTGACTTTGCTCCGTTCATCTTTGCCTCGATCCTGACTAGTCTCCCAGTCCCTGCCGCTGAAAAACATCCCTACAGCATGATGCTGCCACCACCATGCTTCACCGTAGGGATGGAGCCAGGTTTCCTCCAGATGTGACGCTTGGCATTCAGGCCAAAGAGTTCAATCTTGGTTTCATCAGACCAGAGATTCTTGTTTCTCATGGTCTGAGAGTCTTTAGGTGCCTCTGGCAAACTCCAAGCGGGCTGTCATGTGCCTTTTACTGAGGAGTGACTTCCATCTGGCCACTCTACCATAAAGGCCTGATTGGTGGAGTGCTGCAGAGATGGTTGTCCTTCTGGAAGGTTCTCCCATCTCCACAGAGGAACTCTAGAGCTCTGTCAGAGTGACCAGCGGGTTCTTGGTCACCTCCCTGACCAATGCCCTTCTCCCCCGATTGCTCAGTTTGGCCGGGCGGCCAGCTCTAGGAAGAGTCTTGGTGGTTCCAAACTTCTTCCATTTAAGAATGATGGCGGCCACTGTGTTCTTGGGGACCTTCAATGCTGCAGAAATGTTTTGGTGCCCTTCCCCAGATCTGTGCCTCGACACAATCCTGTCTCGGAGCTCTACAGACAATTCCTTCGACCTCATGGATTGGATTTTGCTCTGACATGCACTGTCAACTATGGGACATTATATAGAATGGTGTGTGCCTTTCTAAATCATGCCCAATCAATTGAATTTACCACAGGTGGACTCCAATAAAGTTGTAGAAACATCTCAAGGATGATCAATAGAAACAGGATGAAACTGAGCTCGATTTCGAGTCTCATAGCAAAGGGTCTGAATACTTATGTAAATAAGGTTTTCTGTTTTTTAATTTGTAATAAATTTGCCAAAATTTCTAAAAAGTTGTATTTATTTAATCCATTTTAGAACAAGGCTGTAACGTAACAAAATGTGGACAAAGTCAAGGAGTCTGAATACTTTTCGAAGGCACTGTAAACCACCAAGTGTTTAAAGCTGCAATATGTCACTTTTTGTATTTGTTTTTATGTTCAAAAGCTCCAATAGTGGTCATCCAATGTGATACAACAGTAACAATATTGTGCCTCTAGCCTGCCTGAGAACCGCTGTATTCATTGGTTTTCATTTTCCCTGTCTGGTCCGATTTTTCCGCCAGATTTTGGGGGGCACACAATGAGTGTTTGGAGAGAGAAATTTGGAGAGTGTCACGATCGTCTAGGAGTGAAGGAGACCAAAGCGCAGCGCGTTGAACGAACATGACTTTAATTAGAGTAAAGCACGTAAAATACAAAACAAAAGACGACTCGTGAAGTCCACAGTACAACTACTGAAACACGGAACAATAACCCACAATGCCCACAAGAACACATACAGAATAAATATGGCTCCCAATCAGAGATAACGAGCCGACAGCTGACACTCGTTACCTCCGATTGGGAGTCATATGACTAATCAACATAATTACAACACTTTGACACCCAACATAGAACCAAACCACATAGACTGCACACACCCTGGCTCAACATAATGAGTCCCAGAACCAGGGTGTGACAGTACCCCCCCCTAAAGGCGCGGACTGCGACCGCGCCTCAAAACCCCCAAACAGGGGAGGGCTGGGCGGGCATACCTCCTCGGTGGCGGTTCTGGCTCCGGCCTAGACCACCACCCCACCATCGTCACTACCCGCTTACGTAGGTTCCTCCAAATGACCCCCACCGGTTTAAGGGGCAGCACCGGACTAAGAGGCAGCACCGGACTAAGGGGCAGCACCGGACTAAGGGGCAGCACCGGACTAAGGGGCAGCACCGGACTAAGGGGCAGTACCGGACTAAGGGGCAGCACCAGGATAAGGGCCAGCACCTGACTCAATGGCGGATCCTGGCTGGCTGGCTCTGGCGGATCCTGGCTGGACGGCTCTGGCGGATCCTGGCTGAACGGCTCATGGCGGGCTGAAGGATCTGGCTGCTCATGGCTGGCCGACGGATCTGGCTGCTCATGGCTGGCCGACGGATCTGGCTGCTCATGGCTGGCCGACGGATCTGGCTGCTCATGGCTGGCCGACGGATCTGGCTGCTCATGGCTGGCTGACGGATCTGGCTGCTCATGGCAGGCTGACGGATCTGGCTGATCCTGTCTGGCCGAAGGCTCTGGCTGATCCGGTCTGGCGGAAGGCTCTGGCTGATCCGGTCTGGCGGAAGGCTCTGGCTGATCCGGTCTGACGGAAGGCTCTGGCTGCTCCTGTCTGGCGGAAGGCTCTGGCTGATCCTGTCTGGCGGAAGGCTCTGGCTGATCCTGTCTGGCGGAAGGCTCTGGCTGATCCTGTCTGGCGGAAGGCTCTGGCTGATCCTGTCTGGCGGAAGGCTCTGGCTGATCCTGTCTGGCGGAAGGCTCTGGCTGATCCTGTCTGGCGGAGAGCTCTGGCGGCTCCGGTCTGGCGGACGGCTCTGAAGGCTCATGGCAGACGGGCGGCTTTGCAGGCTCAGTACAGACGGGCAGTTCAGACGGCGTTGGGCAGACGGACAGTTCAGACGGCGTTGGGCAGACGGGCAGTTCAGACGGCGTTGGGCAGACGGGCAGTTCAGGCGCCGTTGGGCAGACGGGCAGTTCAGGCGCCGTTGGGCAGACGGGCAGTTCAGACGGCGTTGGGCAGACGGGCAGTTCAGGCGCCGTTGGGCAGACGGGCAGTTCAGACGGCGTTGGGCAGACGGACAGTTCAGGCCCCGTTGGGCAGACGGCAGACTCTGGCCGTCTGAGGCGCACCGTGGGCCTGGTGCGTGGTGCCGGAACTGGAGGTACCGGGCTGAGGACACGCATCTCAGGGCTAGTGCGGGGAGAAGCAACAGGGCATGCTTGGCCCTGGGGATGCACCGTAGGCCTGATGCGTGGTGCCGGAACTGGAGGTACCGGGCTGAGGACACGCATCTCAGGGCTAGTGCGGGAAGCAGCAACAGGGCATGCTTGGCCCTGGGGACGCACATAAGGCCTAGTGCGGAGAGCAGCAACAGGGCATGCTGGACCCTGGGGACGCACATAAGGCCTAGTGCGGAGAGCAGGAACAGGCCGGGCTGGGCTGGCGACGCGCACCGTATCCCTGGTGCGAGAGGCCGGAACAGGCCGGGCCGGGCTGGCGAAGCGCACCGTATCCCTGGTGCGTGGAGTAGGAACAGGCCGGGCTGGGCTGGCGACGCGCACCGTATCCCTGGTGCGAGTGGCCGGAACAGGCCGGGCCGGGCTGGCGAAGCGCACCGTATCCCTGGTGCGTGGAGTAGGAACAGGCCGGGCTGGGCTGGCGACGCGCACCGTATCCCTGGTGCGAGTGGCCGGAACAGGCCGGGCTGGGCTGGCGACGCGCACCGTAGGCTTCGTATGAGGCTCAGGAACAGGCCGGGCTGGGCTGGCGACGCGCACCGTACACTTAGTGCGAGGGGCCGGAACAGGCCATACCGTACTGGGGACACACACCACTGGCTGTACCTCGGGATTAGGAACGGGCCGGACCGGACTGGTTACACACCCCAGTACCTCTCG